CCAGGGTGGGCCAAACATGGTTCTCGGGTGCCAACTGCTCGCCCTGAGAGCCAGCCCATGTCTGAAATTTAGATGAAGGGATTGGGCCCCGGGGGCCTTAAAAACAAAAGCAGCCCTCTCTGGCACTGAGACGTTTTCCATGTTCTCCTGTGTGGGGCTATGAGGAGGAAGGGTCGCAGGCTCACGGCCCTCCCTCCCTCCCTCCTTCCACAGGCCAGGCTGGAAAGGTTCGGTGGGCGCCACTGGAACTGGAGAAGGGTGGTGTTCCCAAGGTCCTGAGGTCCCAAGAAGTGAGCCAAGACCGATGGTGGGGGGGCGGGGTGGGGGAATGAGGACCAGGGCTCCTGGAACGCAAGCTAGGAAGACACCTAGCAAGGAGAGTGTGGGCCACGGCCGGGATCCACCCCCCCAGGCCAGGCCCAGGCCACCAGCACCAGCCATGCTGCAGCAGGAGTTGAGACAGGGAAAGGTCATGTGCCCCCACAGTGAGCCCAGGCTGGGTGTGCTGTGGGTATCACCGGAGCACAATGCCAGAAGTGTAATCTGGAGGGCTGTGGAATTGACATGAACCCCATTGTTCTCTGCCTGACTCCGTGAGGAAGCCAGACTTTTCTCTGAGTCCCAACTTTATCCTGAAGAGATTTTTCTGGTTAATGAACAGATAAGCATCTCTCCCCTAAGAACAGGACGGCAGGAGCGGAAGTGGTGGGGTTCGGCACTGTGCTTTTCAAACCTGAGTGTCCACAGAACTTCCTGGGGAGCACATGAAATGCAGACTTGGGAGCCTGGGGGTGGGAGTTAGAGGAGCTTTTGTTTGCTAGTTCTGGGGCCTCCGCCCAGGAGCCCATACTTGCCAGGCCAGTGCTCCTCCACTTGAGCCATACCCCAGCCCTCTTTGCGTTTGTCATTTTTAGATTTGGTCTCTCACCTATTTTTTTGTTGTTGTTGGTCGTGGGGCTTGTGGGGCTTGAACTCTGGGCCTGGGCGCTGTCCCTCAGCTCTTCAGCTCAAGGCGAGCGCTCTACCACCTGAGCTACAGCACCACTTCCGGTTTCTGGTGGTTTATTGGAGATAGGAGTCTCACGGTCTCTCCTGCCCGGGCTGGCTTTGAACTGCGATCCTCAGATCTCAGCCTCCTGAGTAGCTGGGATTACAGGCGTGAGCCACCAGCACCCGGCTGGTCTCTCACCTATTTTTGCCCATGGCTGGCTCAACCCACAGTGCTCCTACCGATACCTTCCACATAACTGGAATGACAGGCAGGTACCACCATGCTCATCTGTTTTGTTGCCATAGAGTCTTCTAGATTGGTCCTTGATGGCCTCAAACTGCAATCCTGATCTCTGCCTCCTGAGTAGAGGCCTGTGCATTTCCAGTGTACTGCAGCGAACCCAACTTGGTCCCCATTAGGCCTGTGGCCCCAGGTGACAGGCCGCCCCTCTGCAAGGCCCCGTTATGGCCGGCTCCTCTCCACTGGAATGCCTGGCCACCCTGTGCGGCCACAATTCTGGGAATGGATGCTGCCGGCTGGTAAGCCAGGGTCAGCTGCCGGAAGAAACTGCCGGGCACTCAGCTCAGGGATGCTGCAGGAATGTCAGTAGGGACATTGGGAATTTAGGAGCTGTGAGGTTTATTCAAAGACCCCCAAAGTAGACCAGGATAATTGTATGTGTGTGTGTGTGTGTGTGTGTCTTGGTGTTTCAACTCAGGGCCTGAGCACTACCCCAGAGCTTCTTTTGTTCAAGGCTAGCATGCTACCACTTCTAGCTTTTTTTTTTTTTTTGGTAGTTTATTGGAAATAAGAGTCTCATAGACTTTCCTGCCCGGGCTGGCTTTGAACCTCGATCCTCAGATCTCCACCTCCTGAGTAGGTAGGATGACAGGTGTGAGCCACCAGTGCCTGGCTGATTTCTATTTTATAACATCACTTACTGCAGAGGGAAAAGACAAGGTGGGGGTGAGTTTTCCACGTGGGACTTTTCAGCAGAGGATGACGTTGGTGATACTGCAGCATGGCACACGGCAGCATCCTGCCCCACCCGCCCCTCCCAGCTGTCCATCACACACACACCGGCTGCCTGAGGGCAGGATATCCTGGGGAAAGCCCAGACTCGCCTGCCTCAGCGTCGGTCCTCATCCTCCCCAGGCCCCGGCCCTTCCTCATAGAGGAAGAAGACCGGATTCTGTGGAATGTTCCTTTCCGTCAGAGGCTCGGGAAGAACTGTTGAGAAGTGAGGCCGTCTTGACAGCAGCAAGGATAGGGATGTTCTCCCCACCCCAAGTGGAAAATCACAAGTGCTGGTGAGGGCATAGAGAAATCCGAGCCTTTTCAACATCCTTGCTTGTGGACTTGTAAAATGATGCAGCCACTGATAGTTCCATAGGGTTTAACACCTCCACTCCCAGACACATACCTGAGAGAACTGAAAGCAGGCTCCCACACGGATATTTGTATATATCATGACTGTTAATAGCTAGAAGACAGAAACCCCTCACATGTCCCCTAATGGATGAATTGACAAGCAGTGGTATGTTCATACAGTGGAATATTATTTGACCATAAAAAAGCAGCAATACCTGCTACAACTTGGATGATCTCAAGACCTTTATGTTAAGTGAACAAAGCCAGCCACAAAAGGTCACAGGTCATGATTTTACTTACCTCTAGAGTAGGTGTTCCAGCGGGAGGGAAGCAGAGGCAGGTTTGGAAGGACGGGGGGAGGCTGCTTAGTTGGCCTCACAACTTTTTTTGAGGCCGTGAGAATGTTTTGGAAGTTGACAAGGGTAGATACCAGGAATGTACTAAAAGCCACTGAGTGGTGCTTTGAGATGAGTTTTACACTCCGCAGATTTCACTTAATAAAGAAATGCAAAGGTGGAAACAGCCTGAGAAAGGGAAAGAATAAGTCAAACTTCTGGGCCCAGAGAAGGAGGTGGCGGGCAGGCCTCAGGGCATGGAAGGGGAACGGATACCCAGCATGCTTAGTCACCTTCCCATGGAGGGATCAAGGGCCTGCGAGGGAAGAACCTGGCATCTCCACGTGCTCCTGTGGGTGGCAGAGATGATCCCTTTCCTCCCTTCCCGCTGTGAGGCTGGTGGGGCCCAGCCAGCCTCTTCCCAGAGAGGAACACTGTGTCCCCCTTGGAAGTTTCCTGGCATCCCGGCAGGCAGCAGCCTCTGCTGAGGGCCGTCGGAGGCCTGGGGCACAATGCAGAATCTCAGGAAGCAGATGCACCAGCGCAGCCACAAACAAAACGGAGATGAGCGCAACTGGGAAAGGTCCATAAAAGTCAGAATCAAAACATGTTTGGTTCCTCCAGTTTACAAGCGGAGGCTCATAAAACTGCTGAGCTTTAGACACAAATGAGCTGGGAGGAGATTCCGTGACCACAGTCCGCTCTCCATCACCCACCACAATGGTCCTCCCAGGGAGGAGCGCATGGGAACTGCCTCAGGCTCACACGGAAGACCTGAGGTGCCCACGCCTCCCGCGGTGCCCCGCTGGCTCCCTGGGACCTGGGAGGCTAGCTGGGGGAGAGGGGGGAGGCCACAGGCCTAATACTCAGACACCACCCCACACAGAGTCCCAGAGAGCTCCCCAGAAGGCCCTGGTGAGTGTGCCAGCCTGAGCTCGGGGGTGGGCCATGGAATTACCCGAGTTCCTGCATGCCCACACCTGGCCGCTAAGGATGGCTATGCAGGTGGGGAGTGAGGCCTCACACCACATGCCAGGGCTTAGGGGCATCTCACCACATCTTACCCCCATCCCCTCCCTTCTCCCTCCATCCCCAAACTCTATCCCTTCCCTCCTCCCTCCATCCCAGGCATGGTTGGGATGGAAATATGAAAGGAAATTGATTCAAAAGACACAGGTTCTGCATGACTAGGCCACAGTAAGCCTGTTCAGGTAACAAGACTCAGGGTCTTCAGTTGCTCTGTGGGAAACACTGGGATGTAGCTGTAACCTAAGTAGAAAGGATAGACTCCACCGTCACTTTTTAATCTTTTAATCAATCTCCCATGTGGTAAGTTAATTTGTTTGTAATTAACTCTTTTGGCTGTTTTCAGCATACTATTTGGGGGCCAAGAATACATTGTGGTAGGCCTGGGTGCAGCTGTCACCATCATCCTTCCAGAATCTTCTATCTTCCCAAACAGAATCTCTGAATGCCATAAGCATTCCCCTGTTTCCCCAGGCCTCCGTCATCTACTTCCTGTCTCTGTGGACTTGGTGGGATGTCATGATTGGATTAAAGTATTGGGCTCCTTAGTAACAAGCTTACTTCATAAGCTCACATCTTCCAGTTTCATCCATGTTGTGGACAATGTCAGGATTTCCATTATACAGCTGAATAACGTTAATCTTCCGTTGCATGGATATTCCACATTTTGTTCACCTGCTATGCACATTATATTGAGAAAAATAGAGATAAGGTTATATAAACACTTGGAACTATTTTAACAAAAAGACTTTAAAAAAAAGAAGCCAAGTAAGCATGGCACCGGTGGCTCACACCCTAGCTACTCAGGAGGCTGAGGTCTGAGGATTGAGTTGGAAGCCTGCCAGGGCAGACAAATCACAGAAACTCTTACCTCCAATGAACCACCAAAAATCCAGAAGTGGATCTGTGGCTCAAACAGTAGAGCCCCAGCCTTGAATGAACAAGCCAAGTGAGAACACAGGCCTTGAGTTCAAGCCCTAGTTCTGGCACAAGAAGGAAAAGGAGGAAGAAGAAGAAGAAGGGAGAAGAGGAAGAGAAAGAGATCATTTAGGTCCTATTTTCTTATATGTAATATTTCTCCCTTCAACTCTGTGCCTCCTTTCTTTAGTCTGAAAGCCTTCTCTCACAGCCACAAGAGAAGATGGTGTTTACATAGTGTTCTCTGGACATTACAGCTCGTGGAAAATAAAAAGTGTTGTTTCCACATGACGGAATCCGTGTACACCTCAGTATGTGTTGCTTCTCATTGTGAAACTGAGTGTATGCTGTTCCCACAGGGCCAGCCAGGACCCGTGGGCCCCCAGGGGTTCAGCGGGCCACCAGGGCTCCAAGGATTCCCTGGACTTCAAGGTCGCAAAGGTGACAAGGGTGAGCGTGGAGCTCCTGGGACGACTGGACCTAAAGGAGACGTGGTAGGTGTTCTGGCTTGTGACAGCCCTCTGTCTCGGGAGGGAGGGGCTGGGTGTCCAGGCATGGCTTGATTGGTTCTTCTTCTCCACAGGGGGCCAGAGGCGTGTCCGGGTTCCCAGGGGCCGATGGAATTCCCGTAAGTGTTTATGTTTGGAGCACTGAGATACTGCGTGCATTCTGAGTTTATGCATTTATGATGTAAAGAAACGTGCTAGATGAGAACGCCTTTGTTTATAACATAAAATGTAGGGCTCTCTTTGAATATGCCCCCCCAATGTAGTCAAACCTTGGATACATTGTTTCCTTTGTAAACATGTTTATGGGCATGGCTTCAGAAGTAGGGTGACTTGGTTAAAACTGCACCATGTTTTGTAATAAGAAACCAGAGCGTGACCAAGATGCATGTGCTCCATACAGAGCCAGCCTTGAGATTCCCTTGGAACCACTGAGCAACTTAAACATAAAAGCGGTCAGACAAGAACATGAACAGAACAAAGCATGCGTGCATCGCCGTGGATTCCCTCTAGTGACCACACATCAAATGAGCACAGCCAAAGCCACCATTTGTCCATGAGAAAAATCTCAAACGCAATAAAATGTGTTTTTATAACCTAGTTTACTTCTTGTGGCATAAAAATAAATAAACAAAAGAGCCTGACTCACAGCCTTCTCCACAAGCAGCCATGAGCAGATTTCCCAGGACTGGCTTCCTGGCCAGCTCTGACCTCCGGGATGCATGTGTTTATCACACATCCTGAAGTGCTTCCCTCCGTCTGCTGCTGAGATTCCAAGACATCTGCTGTGAGAGCCTCACACAGAGACACAGATGTGCACTTAACCTGTATGAGCATCCTCCCTGCAGCCACACACGATGCACCCAGCCTTGCACACACATGCGTGCACACATAGATACGCATGCCTAAACTTGTCTGTGCACATGTATGGGCATGAACAACCATTCATGTGCACACATGCGAACAAGTGCATGCACGTATGCGCATGCACACACACAAGGAAGGAACACTCCCCAGCCACATCAGCAGGGCTGCAACCAGGGAAGAGGAGGACGGGAACCAGCCAGCCACTGTCACAGAATGCATGCTTTCCCTTCAGGCCATCAGCCCCCCACTCAAGGAGACTTTGTGAGAGTAGAAGGAAGCAGAACAAAAGAGATCTAGGTAGTCAGTGTCTCCTCCGTGGTGAGCTCAAGTAGTCTCTGGGTCCACCAGAGAGACAAAGGAACTGCCAGTCACATACATACGTCAGGAGATTGAGAAAGAGGCAGGAGAAGAATCCATGTACTCCCCGGGATAAACAGTGAGAGTATTTTCCCACCATAGCCTAAGACATCACCCACTTTGAAGCCACTTTTTTTTTAAACTCTTTAGATTGTCTTGGAATCCCAAGATTTTGTTTTGAGCCTTTGCAAGTCCAAGTTAAGATTGATGGTACTCTTAGGAGAGGAACACAAAGGTACATGCCTATGTGCCTCTGACCATATAAAATAACATTTATCAAAACAGGAAAGAAATTGAGTGGTATAAGACCAAAGAAAGGGAAATTAATCTGTCTCATGTTTTCAGTCCTTTTTTTCTACTATATGCTCATTAAATCCCTGAAGCAGGTAGCTTACAAGTTAGTGAGAAGGTTGTCTCAGTGAGAGAGGTGAGCAGGTAACACTGTGCCTGTAGAATCGTGGTGCTGCTTGAAGACAGTCTCTCTAACCACAGAACTGCAACAGTGCAAATTAACTTAAATGTCACCTTTGAATTTTGATTTTGAGTGACCTTCATCATTTTAGCCATTCAGAAGTTGTATAACGTGTAGTAAAGGCTTACCTAGAGTTGTAATGAACTGAAACATGTATAATTAGATGTTACGCAGTAAGAGATTGATGTAATTTAAATGTGTCTTTGAAACACAGTCCCAAGCTAAGATCTGGATGACATGCGATTTCAAATGACACAGTTCAGTTCTAGAAAGGGAGGCCAACATCAGGCATGATAAAGAACTTGATGGTACACTTTAAACAAAAGCAAACCTGGGCCATCCTGAGCAGGGCACGTAGGACGCGGTTTCCTGATGTCCAGTCCGAAGGGCCACCTCGGAGGGGTTCTGGTGACTTTATTTCTAAGGGCATTGGCAAGCTGAAATTCAGATGCATGATGGGAAAGTTGTCCTGTTGTTCCGAAGAAGCAGCAGGCTCTTGTAGACTGTGAAGACCTAGCCTTCCCTGCATCTACAGAAAGAGAGGTGCCCTGCAGAGGGGCAGGGGATGCCCAGGACGCCTTTCCGTGGTGAAGCCCGTGGGGGTTTAGCCCGTGGGGATGTGCTCACAGTTATGTGTGAGCTAGAAGCCTGTGTGCAGGCCGGAAGCCTTACGCTCTCTCCCTTTCTCAGGGGCATCCAGGGCAAGGCGGGCCCAGGGGAAGGCCCGGCTATGACGGCTGCAACGGGACCAGGGGCGACGCAGGTCCACAGGGACCCTCCGGCTCTGGGGGCTTCCCCGGGTCCCCCGTGAGTATGAGCATGAAGGGGATGGGGGTGTTACAGGCACCGGGGGCCTGCAAACCCCAATACTTGATCCTCCAAATGACCACAGCTGTGCTGAATGCTAATGGACACCTGTCTCTTTTCACCACGATGCATTTGCTGATCTAGGGGCCCCAAGGACCCAAAGGGCAGAAAGGTGAACCGTACGCCTTGTCTGAAGAGGATCGGGGCAAGTACAGGGTGCGTTGGCTGTGGGAGGGAGACAGAGCTGGGTGACGCTGTGTCACTCCTCCACCACATTGACTGGGAAGTGAACTCCGAGTGTGCAGATGAATCCACGCTGGGGGTGGAGATCCTGTAATCCCAGCCATTGGAAGGGAGACTAGGAGGAGGATGAGTTCAAGGCCAATGCCTCAACAAACAAAAAGAATGAATACACCAAAAGAATTCACAGACTAATGGAATAACCCAGAATTGTGCATTAGTCTAAAAATCAACTTATTTCCATTTGGGATGTTTTCTATCTAAGTGACGGGAGGGATTCCCCTTGCCATATTCCCCATCCTTGAAGCGAAAGCCATTCCACATGCCACGCCCCACCTGTATGGAGCCACCACATCTTCCAAAACAAAACAGAACTGAAGCACAAAATACAACTAAGATAGAACTTAATCTAAAGTTGCTGGAAAGCCATGACTCCTCTAATGACTATCTTCTCACCCAGGGCGAGACCGGAGAGCCTGGGCTGGTTGGCTTCCAGGTAAGTTGTGTTATGTTGGAATATTCCAAGCAGAGCTTTGAATGCCAGTACACTGTGCTCAGAACCTGCTCTTCACCTCTCCACAGGGGCCTCCTGGCCGCCCCGGGCCTGTTGGACCCATGGGTCCAGTTGGAGCTCCAGGAAGACCGGTAAGTACCGTGCCTGCCGTGAGCCACCCACGCCATCGCTGCCACTCGGCCAACGGCCAGGGCAAGGGGGATGATGCCCCTGGAGACACAACAGGCCTTTCCTTGCATTTGTTTTGTGTTTAAGACCCAAGAACAAGGACTCAAAACTCTGTGGTCAGCCGCTCAATGCACACCAGGTTACGTGTGTGTTGGGTCCTGGCCTTGGCACTCCTGTCATCCTAAGCTCTCTGGGCCCCACCCCTGCCCTGGTGCTAGCAAAGCAGACCCAAGTCCCATGGTCGCAAGAGGGAAACAGGTTCCTCCTGACTCACCTTTAATAGCAGGTACACCCTACCTGGGCCAAGGCCAGGGCATCCATTGCAATGTGATTCCCGTGCCACCTGGAGTGGAGATCTCAGAGACCCCTTCTGCCAATCCAGTGATGGAGGGCAGAGGGCTAGAGGATGCCCAGCCTCCAAGAGAAGTCTTCCTTCAGAGGCTTATTCTGCACATTTCTTAGCAGTGATACAAATAGCCTTCTATGGCACAGAGTCTGGGGCTCCAGGTGAGAGACTCTCTCATGGAAGTCTGTTCCCAAGGCTCAGACAGGATGTGGAGAGAATCCGTGGTGGCCATTTCCTGACACCGTGGGAGAAAATGAGGCCAGGGTATTTGGGAAGATGGTCTTCCTAACCACTGGGGAGGCAGGCACAGCTTCTCAGCTGCAATCATCAATCACAGTAAGAGGTTTTTGCTCTTGCCAAGCCTGTTTGCCTGCTGCAAGGAAAATCATTCTTGTAAGCAGCCTCACTGTCCGAGGAAGATTCCGCCAGATGGGATGAGCCAGGCAGGGTAAGACAAGACATTCTGTACTCCTTCGCAGAGCGTGGCTGCTGGCTTACTCAAGCACACAGATGGTGCGATTTGAGCTTTTTTTTTTCCTCCTTAAACATAGTTCAAGTCAGGTGCTTATGGCTCACATCTCTAATCCCAGTTACTAAGGAGGTTGAGATCTGGAGATCAAGATTCAAAGCCAACTCAGACCAAGAAAGTCTGTGCGACTCTAGTCTCCAATTAACCAGAAAAAAAAAAAAACAGAAGTGGGGCTGTAGCTCATGGGTCATGTGGTAGAGTACCGCCTTTGAGCAAAAAAGCTCAGAGATAGTGCTAGGCCCTGAGTTCAAGCCCCCATACACATACACACACACACACACACACGCACACGCGCGCGCGCACACACACACACGCACACGCACATGCGCGCGCACACACACACACACACACACAATAGCTTCCAATTCTCATCCGTGCCAGGACAGCCCCATTTGTGCTCACCCAGGCATCCACTATGCTTACACAGCTTGCAGTGCACTAAATGTCCTCAGAGGGGCGCCAAGGCTGACTGCATCAGAAGGACACAGTAGCCTTTGCAGATAGACCCTTGGCTTGCCATTCCGGCCTGCAGATTCATTCCGATGGTGTGCATTTGCTGGCCCACACTGCTGTCCCAGCCTGGGACACACAGAGGAGTCAGGACAGACACACAAGGCCAACAGTCCAAACACACAAAAGCAAGCCAAGAGCAGCTGTGCACAGACAGTGACAAATTCCAAAACACAGTGACTCGCCCCTCTCTCCCTCTCTGAGGAATGACCCACTGAGACGCAGGGGAGACCTCCAAGTCCACTGCCTGATGTTCCAAGTGGACAGAGCATGGCCTTCCCAGGGCCTGCTCTCAGATGTCATCTGGGTCCAGGGATAAACAAAACAGCTCATAGTGGTTTTGTGTTTCTACAGGGACCACCTGGACCCCCTGGACCAAAAGGACAGCCAGTAAGTTGTGGGAATGTGGGGATAGGAGAGAGGGTGTGTGTGTCTCTCTGTCTGTCTTTCTGTCTGTCTGTCCACAGACAGTTGTTCATTATCTAGATCATGATGAGAACCATCCTGCAGGTTCTTACAAGACCTGACTTTGAAGACAGAGCCTATGGTGTATTCAGAGTACCTGGCCATGCCATGAGTTGAGATATTCAATAGTTTGAGAACCCATTAGCATGTGGGCCAGGCAATGGTGGCTCACACACCTAGCTACTCAGGCAGAGACCTCAGGATCACAGTTCAAAGCCAGCCTGGGCAAGGAAAGCCCATGAGATGTATCTCCAATTAACTACTAAAAAGCCTGAAGTGAAGCTAGCTATATCTCAAGTGGTAGAGTGCCAGCCTGAGCAAAAAAGGACAGTGCCCAGGCCCTGAGTTCAAGCCCAATGCCCACACACAAACACACAAAGAATGAATTAGCATGGTCTTGTGGCCATGCGGAATCACCCTGAGTGTTTTCAGAGTTGGGGAGCACGTGACTATCAGGACGTGTCTCGGGGCGAGCCTTCATCTGTGGCAGAGCCCAGCCTAGAGACAGACTGTTTCCATCTTAAGGTGACTATCCCGTTTGGAAGAAGCCTGATTAGTAGTTAGTTTAGAGCCTTCGAGAACAAAACCAGGGCTCATTATGACCTGGGAAAGCTGGGAGTGATCCAAACTGCATGATGTTGATGAGGAACGTATCTGATCAGAACTCGGCCTGTGTCAGAACCCCTGAGGTGCAGTGGGGAAGATCTGAGAGCCATCCCTGCCCCCATCCAGATGCGGCCTTTCCTGCCTGCCTGTTCCCACGCCCGCCCCACACCAAGCCCTATTTTTCTGACCCAACCCCCCCAACCCCCGCACCCCGCCACCACAGCGACTGCCCACCCCCTGCGTCCCAGGCTCCTGTCCCCTCCAATAGGCATCTGGCTGGAGCCCACGAGGCTGCTGTACTCCCCTCTCCCCCCCCCCGCCTCCGCCTCTGTCTGGGTGCCCCGCAGCCTTGAGCAGGGTGGGAAGGGCCCCAAGCCAAAGGGGATGGAAGCCAGCAGAACAGCTAGGCCAAGGAAGCATGGAGAGACCCAGCTCAGATCTCCATCAGCCACTGCGGATGCAAACAGCCCACATCCGAGGCCAAGCCACTTCCTGGTGACCTGGCGAGGCAGAGAGGGCCCTAAGGGTGCCAATGGGCTTCCAATCCAGGCAGGCCACCCTCCATGCTTTGATGTCAGCCTCCAGCCAGGTGGGAAAGAAGGAACAGCAAAAATCAGTTAAAAGCTTTATTTTTATTTTCATGAAATAAAAGTGTGCTGCAGAGAGAAAGATGGGGGGAGGAACCCGCCTGACCCTGTGGGAACGCCGAGACCTGGGGAAGAGGCGCAGCTGTGTGGCCGTGGTCTGACACACATAAGGGCGGGAACTGCTCACATTACTGAGCTCTGGCAGCCGGCTGGGCTGAGCTGAGCTGAGCTGGGCTGGGCCAGGCTAAGCTGGGCTGGGCTGGGCTGGGCTGGGCTGGGCTGGGCTGGCCAGTACTTCCTGCCTCGTGGAGCAGCTAAATAAATCCTAGACAAGACACAGGGCCTGGCTTTGCCTCCTAGGAAAAAAGTGTGAATGGCTGTGGGGAGAAAGAATTGCCTAGCTCATGACACTTGATTGATTCCCTAAAACCACCTCAAGAAGGTAGATACTTGCATGACATTAGAGTGGCTTTCCCGAGATGAGAAGGGGAATTGGGTCTTCCCATGTAGAAGATGTTCTGAAGTCTGAAGTTCCAAGTCCAAAGCAATGCTCCTGCACACCACCCTGGCAGGAATGTGATAAGGGCAAGGTCAGAGGATACGGTCACTCTCACCCCAACCCACTAGAGCCTCAATCAGAGGGCCTGATGGGGTCTCCTGGCTCCCAAAGCCAGTTCGTGGTTGTTCAGTGCCATTGCTGAGTGCTTATGGTCAGTGCAGTTAAGTACCATATCATGCTGCTGCACAGCACAGTCACCTGTTGGTCAGTGCTGTTGCTTGGTACTGTTGCTCAGTGCTGTATCTCAGTGCTGTTGTGCATAGGTAGGTAGTGAGGTTCTTTTTCTAAAAACATAGTTTTATTTCACTGTGATTGTGGGTCTTTAAAAACTCACGCAAGCTGTTTGTCTTTGCAGGGCAACAGAGGACTTGGTTTCTATGGAGAAAAGGGCGAAAAGGTAAAGGGAGAAATCTTGAGGATAAGTTGATTTGAGACACTGTTTTTAATTGTATGAAAGCCCCCTGTGGCTGGGAACTGGTGTAGGAATTCCTGAAATCCGTCCTCCGCACCCATATCCAGACCCTGACCCGATAGTTTCCTTGTGCATCAATCATCATATCAAGATGACTTCAGCGTAGTCAGGCCCCTGCCTTCTCTGCACAACGTGGCCATCAGTGCTAAACGAGTCGGAGAACGTTCAATGCCTTTATGATTAGTGCAACACAGAATAGCTATCCATGCAGAGATACGCACAGTTAAAATAGCTGTGTCATTTGTCTAGTTTTATACCCTGCTTTTAATTTATCCTGCGTGCTTTCTCGCTAAACTCAGGGCGACATCGGCCAGCCAGGACCCAATGGCATTCCATCCGACACCACGCTCATCGGGCCCACGACCACCACGTACCGCCCAGATCAGTATAAGGTAATGGGGTCACTGCTCACTGCCACCGAGAGCAAGGACAGGAGAAAAAGACTGCCAACTTACCCTGAAATGGCTTCACCCATCTCTTCTCCTCAGCCACTGTGATGAATTGGAATTAACGCACGATTCATTATAAAACTGGCTCTCTAGAAGTTTTCCTGAGTCAGGGGAGATCACCAAACCATCTTTACAGAGCTCTGAAGAAATTCAGGGGAGCCTGTATGAAGGGCTCAGTATCAGACTGGCACATACAATTACCTGGCATGAGGGTGTGTATCTTTCCTAGTAGAGCATAGTCCTTCCTTCCAAGAACCCTCTCACAGTGGGATTGGCAGCCATGGTCCAGGTGATTAGTTTAGTGACCGTTGACGGAGTTGGCCTGCGAGGTGGCAGGCAGGACCTCACTGTGCCGTGTGAGGTCTGCAGGCCAGGCACGGAGAAGCCGGGCAGGTTCGCTTGGGGTGCACACAGCACCCTTCCATATTCAATTTCGTTCCCTTTCTGCCACCACGAAGCGGGTGTTCCCATCCCGCCTGCAGGGGGCAGTCATGAACCACAGGCTCCCAAGTATTGCCAGGAGAGAAGAGGACTTAGGACCTTGCCAAACAGAATTGACACAGCTTTCTAAAGCCCCTTTGCCTGAGATTTCAGTATGCTCTGAGTGCATCTTTCCCTGTTTCACTGGAATGACGATGATTGTCAGGGGCCTCCTGTCCCTCACTGGGGCCTCAACACCGGTGATGGATATGGCCATCACTTGCGGGAGACAGAAGCAGCTGAGCAAGTAGAAGAAAGGCTCCCAATCACGTTGAAAATCATGCGCAATTTCATTTAGCCTCTGGAAGCCTGGAGGTGTAACATGGGTATTTTAATTTGAATCTTGAAGCTGCAAGATCTGAGTTATTGATTGCAGTTAATGCACCAAAATGATTTAATGTCTTACCAAAAACCCAACCCCATTTTTAAAGACTGCCATTCTCTGTGAGCATTGCTAACTGTTCATATTCTTTACAGGGTCAAAAGGGGAGTGAGGGAGAGCCGGGGATTCCGGTAAGCCAAGTACTAAAATCACTTCCTGTGTAGAGGTGTCTAGGGTGCTGGGCTCCTGTTAGAATATACCCTGTGCTGCTCTCAGCCCCGTGTTCTGGATTTCTTGACTTGTATCAGTTTATTGTCATTTATACTTTCTCATCTCAAAAGAGTTTTACAGTATCCCTTTTGCACACTAACCCCTGGCTCCTCATGGTTTCCTGAGGCCACAAAATGGACGTGACCCTGCGTGGTGGGCTGAGGAGGGTGCCTGGCTCAGCTCTGCCCCGGGCGAAGGGTCGCTGGGCCTCCCATTCAGCCTGTCTAGCCAGTGACCCGTGGGTAGAGGTCATCGAGTACTCTGGGCTTTCTCTGCATTAGATGTCCAGAGGAGGTCCAGCTGCACAGCCTGGGAAGGCTGCAGAGCAGTGGCTGGCAGCCCCCCTGGACACGCCTGGCATTGTTTCTCCTAGGGCGTCTCGTTGAAGGGCGAGGAAGGCGTCATGGGCTTCCCAGGAGCTCGGGTGAGCCACCCCGTTTGGTTTTGCTTTCTGAACAGACTTTCTGTTTTGACAGTAGCTTTAAATTTGCAGTACAATTGAGCAGACAGCTCAGATTCCCCCTGCCCCCCCATACCACCCCGTGCCCATGGCATCCCACCCCGGCCACACCACTCCCGGGGTGCCTTGCTGCCATCTGTGAGGCACCCCTTTGTTTTCACTCAGCACTGAAGGTGACCTGCACTTGCAGGAGAGGGGCAGAAGACATTCCTGCTCGTGCAGGCAATGGAAGCCTCCAGAACACAGTTTGATTTCTGGTTGCCCACGAGACCAGAAAATTGCCCCTAAGGCTTAGGCCTCAGTGGCAGGAGGCACCTGCTGACCCTAACCTAAGCATCACCTGTGGTGTGCGTCCTGGCCAGACCTGCCACAGGTTAGGAATTGTGGCTGGAGGAAGAAACAAGGGTCGCGTGACCCTCCGTCAGTCCCTGCTACCTCCAGAATAATAACAAAGAAGAACCTCGGAGTACCAGCGTATTCATATTTTTAGCACACCACCTTGGTGTGTTTCTCCTTGTCTCTTTTTAAGTGGTGGAAGTGGGGTACTTTATGTGGCTATGGATGAGATGCCCAGTCCCCTTGAGAAAGTGCAGGTGACCTCATGGGCTGGATGGCTTCTGCGGCGTGTAGCTCTGCTCTTCTCCGCAGTGGTTTTGCTTCCTCCAGCCTTCTCATTCGTATCTGCACCACTCCACCCTCCAGCCATGCGGAGGGGATGGACTTGGGATCCTGGCCCTGGGGTTGGATCTGTCTGCTCAGAGCTGCCCTGCAGACCTCCAGAGCACAGAAGGTTGCTCTGGTCCCCCTCAGTGCCACAATGCAGCCTTCTGGAATGTTCAGTGCATCTTCCAAGCCGTTCACTGCTTCTGTTTTCTGTTCAACACAGGGTTTTCCTGGCCTCGATGGAGAGAGAGGAGCTCAAGGACAGAAAGTAAGTCAGCAACGTAGCACGCAGGCTGCACCAGCCTGACCTCTTCCAGAGCTCTTACAGATGAGCATATCATCTCGGAAAAGGATTTTCCCAAACAAAGCACTTCACTGCCTTTCCGGGAGCATAAATGGCCTCTACCCAGAGCCCTTCCCACCTAGGGAGACAGAAATGTACATGGGTAGTGGGTTAGGGGAGTCATTTGTTCAACCAGAAATTAGGACAAGGGAGATAGCACAAATGGGTTGCCATCCAGCGTATCAGGATGCCAACCCCACTTTGACCTGCTGACCTCTCTGCCCCCCCCCGCCCACCCTCCCACCCCACTCCCAGAACTAGAATCAGAAACCCAAAGCTGCTCCAAGGAATTATTGTGAACAATAACAGTGAAGAGTGTGTTCAAGTGGGAGGAAAGACTTTGCCTAGCCCTACCTACAGTACATACACATGTGCACACGCATGCACACATGCACACACACAGCAGATGAGCAGTTTAGTTTGTTCTAGGAGGGAATGGAGTGTATTTTGTAAACTTGGTTGTACTAAATTTCCCAACAAATTCAGCTTGTCCCCCTCTTTATCCAAGGGAGACAAAGTTTAGTCATCGCAAAAGCTTTTCACAGCCTCGGGTACTTGTAAAACGTGTTCATGCAGCCGGGTGCCAGTGGCTCATGGCTATAATTCTAGCTACTCAGGAGACAGAGACCTGAGGATCATGGTTCTCAGTCAGCCCAGGCAAACAATTTGGAGAGATTATGATTTTCAATTGACCAGCAAAATAACAGAAGTAGAGCTATGGTTTAAGTAGTAGAACATCCACCAGCCTTGAGGGGAAAAAAATTAAGGATCAAGCCAAGAGTTCAAGTTTCAGGGAGCCCAGGGAGCAGATGCCAGGCCTGTTCATCATGGCACTGCTGAGAACCTGCCTCTTCCCAGGGCTAAGTACAGGGTGTTGGTTATGGCTGGGTATTGTAGTTAAGACTGTGAGCTGGAGGCATCTGCTGATACCCTGATCTCTGATTCAGACTTTGCTGACTGCTGTCCTGTGCTGAATTCTGCCCCCCTTGTAGGCTGAATGTTTCCTCTGAGCAAATAAAGCAGCTGAGTGTGAGTCTAACTCATGCTCTATGGGCCACAGAGATAAGAAAGGGTCCCGAAAACTCAGAAGTCGAGGGCACCATGGGCAGGTGATCTAGGACAGCAAAGAGCTTTTAAGCACTGGAGAACCAGAAACTGTCCAAGAAGGACCCGGTCATGCATTCCAGGCCGGAAGCTTCTAGGACTTTGGCCTAGTGACTTTCCTTAGCCTGGGTTGGGTTATTTTTCTACCCTCTGAATTCCTAGAACTCCTGGTTTTAAATCTTTGGCTCCACCTAGTGTAAGAGAGTCCCACAACAGAGAACAGAATGAGGCATCCTAGGAGCTCCAGGGTCTCCGACTCATTTTTATAGCAGTGGCCTATGGCATCCTGGTTTGGGGTCAGCACCAGACATGGCCCCTAATGAAAGCAGGTACATGTCTAGAAATGGCTAGGATTTAAGCAGCTGTGCACACCTGACCCCGTGATGGAACTCGTGAGGGCAGACTTTCTCCACAAGTGTTCACGGGAACTGGGGAACAAAATTTCTTTTTTAATCAAAAAAGAAAATGTGTGAATTAAGACGCTTTCATACATTCGTTTAGTGGCAACTGAAGTTTGTAAAACCCATCTTGGAGGAAGGTTTGAGCAGAAGAGGCCTGTGTAACCCCTGATCCCACAGATCAGTGACAGAATCACACACGTGAGGGAGCTGGGCCCTGGAGAGACAGGGAGGAAGAGCCCGCCCAGGACAAGTCCTGGGCTAAGTCCCAGGCCACACCCCTCCAGCCACAGCCGCCTGTGGGGACAGACGCACCCATCACCAGCACCCTGGGGTGAAGCCAGCAAATCCTCCATGCAGCATTTGAGGCACAGGGACCCTGGTTTTCCCAACAACCACCAAAAAGATACTTTAAAAAAAATAGGAAGAACTGTTCTGACTGAAAGAGAATTAAGCATCAGAGCGGCAAGCGCCATATCTGGACTTTGCCTCCTGGTTCAAGAAAAGCAACTGTTTGGATTTTTCACTTTCTATTCGCACGTATTAGTGGTGAATTTTCACACCTGCACATTGTGTCCTTGATCAAGGCCAGCCCTCCATCACTGCCCTGCATCCCCTTCCCTCCTCTTTAAGTAATTTTAACAGGTTTCATTGTTCTGTTTTCATACATGCATATAAAAGTGCCTCGGTCATATTCACCCTCCTCCATTCACGCTCCTCCCTCCTCTGGGACCATGCGCCCCCAAAGAGCCTGGTACCCAGTCCTGGCATTTATTTTCTTTACTGTATATTCATTGTACGAAGGAAGTTCACTGGTGTGTTGCAGGTGCACACATTATACTTTAGTCAGAATAACCTCTCTCAACTGCTTTCTCAGAAAGCAATTTTCAAAAGATGTTATGGAATTCACTAGGTCTCTAAAAGAGAGCAAAGAGAATTGCAGACACAGAGAAAATTGAGTATTTGCAAAGCTGTATTATATGTAAACAGAACTGGAGCTTGTGGGTTGATTGGAGGACAGAGGATGTGGAAGGTACAAATGAATAGATTTTTTTGATGTTTTAAAAGAAATATTTAACTTGGAGTGAAAATGGCCTCGTTCTATATTGTAACTTTCAGATCATGGAACTAAGAGACCATTTTTGATGTTTAGCCCAAGCATTTGCTATTTTCTGTATGTGAAGTAGAAAATTATGTATAAAACCAGTTGATTATTCATTTTCCTTGATGATTCAATTGTTCTAATTTGACTGCCTATTTCTATGCCTCTCATAATTACATACAAATTTGAAAGTGTGTCATTAAAAAAAAGACCTTCTGGATTCTAAAATCAGAGGCGATTGAATGCTGGCAGTGAGAGTGTTGCCAAGTTTTGGTTGTATTCACCAGAACAAGGGGGTTGTGGCACTTTCTGGGGTTCTGTGAACAGATGAAAATAAAAACCCACGGTCTCATCTGCAGGGAAGCAAGGGTCTGGATGGCTTCCAGGGCCCCGGGGGACCCAGAGGACCCAAGGTAAGCCTCATGTGTATCTTTTCCTCTATGGGGTCCTGCTTATCCGCATGATGGACAAACAGCTGGCACTGGGCAGCTGAGACTGGAGCGCCGCTCCCCCAGCACTCCCCACCTGGGGGTGCCATGCCAGCCGGGCTGCCGTGCGTGGGCCCCGGTGGGCTTTGTGGTCACTAGATGAAGAGGTGTCCCCAGTTCTTGAGGGAGAACAGGTCTTGTATGCCTGCATCAGTGAAACCCCCTCTACTGTGGGGGAGGGGGTGGACTTCCCTCTGGGGGTCTGTGGCTAGGCCACGTGTCCCCCTCACTGGACAGTGTCCACTTCCCCTCACTGGACAACTCGGCCCCCAGCTGTCATGCTGTGATGCTCTGAACGTCCCCCCCCCTCCACCCCCCCTTCTGGGATGTAAGGCGATCATCACCTTCCTGGATTCCCCAGGTGTCTCTGTCTAGGGGCTAGGGCACACAGATGTGGTCCCACCAAATGGTGCCACTGTGGCCCATTGGACTGTCCGTGGATAGCTCTGGCTGCTGATATGCTAAGCATACACATCTTCGTTCTTTGGAAATAGACATTTAGGGGCATCCCTGCGAGGCTGTTCTCACATTCTGCTCTTTCCCCAGGGAGAACAGGGGGAACGAGGCCCCCCGGGACCACCGGCCTACTCCCCCCATCCTTCCCTGGCCAAAGGTTGGTGCACTGCCCTTGCCCAGACATGGTTATAAGAGTCACACACGGACCATCTCAGCAAAACACAACCGGGCCAAGGCACTCACACCTAACCCCGAGACCTGGCATGACCCAGGCTCCCTCCTGACCCTGAGACCCAGCCTGGGCACAACTCCCCCCACCCCCTTTTCAAGCAGTATTTATGGGTTTCACCACGTGTTCATCTTCATCCTCGAACACATCAGCCTTCTGGCATCACTATTCTGTTACTCTCTCTGGTGCCAGCATATCAGATGTTTCCCCTAAAATAATGTCACGCCCCTGGGAAAATGCAAGTCTTGGGGACACGGTGAGTCTCTGTGTTGTTTTTTGTTTGTGGGAGTCTTGCCTTTGCCTCTGCATGACTGTGGATGAGATCTTGAAAACAAGGACCCCCCTCATATTTTAAACACATCACGCCCACCCATGCCTCACAGCGTTCTGCGCAGTTATGGTCACCCACGGTGGTGGTCTCACTCCCCTGGTGTGATTTGTGCTGATTCCAGGCGACAGAGGTGACCCAGGATTCCCAGGAGCTCATGGGGAGCCAGGATTCCGGGGCGAGCCAGGAGACCCCGGCACGATGGGACCCCCAGGGCCGACCATCGGAGTTGGAGGTAAGGGGTTCCATGGGAGGACTCAATCACCCACTGAGTGCCAGCCGCCCGTGTCTCACAGAACCTGGCACATGCGATGATGGCAGATGATGCCACCAGTGGGTACCAGGCATGCTGCTGCCCGCTGAATGGCACTTCAGCCTTGTGCCCAATGCCAGTCACAGTCATGCCAATCAGGCGGTTGTGGTAGGGAGGGCCTTCTACACAGGTGGCAGGTGATAAGGGGGTGGCCTAGTGATGTCCTGGCAACACTCAAACACCAGGAACTCACACTGCTTGATGCTGTTTCAGATGAGAGGAGAGGCCTGGTGGGCGAGATGGGCCCCAAAGGCTTTCCCGGTGACCCAGGCCTCCCTGCCCAGTACCCTGGCCTACCTGGAGTAGACGGCAAACCCGGGCTCCCGGGAGCCCCCGGGCCTGCAGGACCACCTGGACCGGACGGTGAGTGGAGGGCACATGCAGGGATTTCTACCAGATGATTCCGAGCTGTCCCGCAGGCTGGGGGCACGGGCACTGAGGCCTCCACGCGGGAGCTATGGCCACGGTCCATGCCTCGTGGGCCTGTCTGGGCGCAGCAGTCCATGGCTCTTCCGTGGTCAGGGAGGGGAGTCTGGGAGGAGAACCACGCTCGACATCCAGCATTGGTGTGGTTGGCCATAGGCGCCTCCTTCCACAGGGCCTCAGGCCTTCCCTGCCTGCATGGAGCCAAAGCTGCAAGATGCAGGTGGGCAGAGTCAGTGACAAGAGACGCCATGCTGTCTATAAGAACAAGTGGTAGCATCAGGCAGGCCAGGCAGCAGCAGGAACATGGACAGACCCCCATTGCCCTGAGGGGACCCTGCATCCGCCCAGGCGGAGGCTCGGGTGGGCATGTTCCAGCTCCAAGCACCGTCCACAGGAGGACGCGTGCACAGCCCGGTGAGGGTGATGTTCCTGTGGGAACATTCCATCCCTCCTCCCCCCAGCACAGGCCAGGCCAGAAGGCTCCAGAAACAAACAGACTGCACTACAATGACCCCGAACAGCCAGGACACCTGGTACTTCCGCTTCCTCCCAATTCCCATCCTCACCTCCAGCTGTCTATCCTGAGTTCTTACCTCCAGAGAGGGAGCATGTATTTGCTTATGACTAGGGTCAGATTGGTTTCAGTCACATTTCAGATGCCACAGTTGCTGTTTAAACTGTTGCCTCCAAAAGGAAGCGTATCTCTCCATCTGCTTTTCATTAACAGAATCGGTCATTTCGATGTCCACAGTAAAAAGTTCACTGGATTCTACTTTCCCAGGTTTCTTTGAACTGGAAAAACTACAGATTCCCACATTCTTTAGAAAAGTTTTCAGTGTGGCTATGCTCCTGAGTTTGCCAGTTTGAGAGGTGCTATCTTAGATTTTCTATCCTGCCACGGGTAATGTTTATTCCTATAACATCTGTGACACTAGGTAGATGTCTACAAGCTACACATGTCCTGGAAGCAGCACTGAGTCTCCCTTGTTCACAACAGCACATGTGTTCAAAATAAAAGGCACTCTGAGCCCAGCCATTCTTGCAGCACCAAATCCCATCTTGCCCAGCACACAAATGCCTGCCATCTTAATTTCTAAATCCTGCCCAGTAAATCTGTGACTTAACTGATTGGCCAAAGTTTGTCAGCTGCTTAACAAAGTAACTTAGTTCTCATCTGCATTGTAGATGGATGGGGGAACTTACAAATCAACGGAAGCGCATCATTCAGAATTTATCAGCTACTGATTCTCAAAGTATACAACTCAAGTTCCTACTCAGTCAGACAGACTGACGGATAGATTTTCCCATGAGACAGTTTCCAAATCACTTCTTTCTTATTAACAACCCTTATATAACCAGCCCTAATGGCCTTATACAAGTATTGGCACAGAGTTGTGGCTTAGAAGCAGTGATCTTGATTCCCAGAGTTCATTTGCCCCTGGAATGAAACTCTTGGGTTCATTAACTGCATTCCATCTGCTTTTGGTTACTGCTGATAAAAAAAAAAAACAAAAAAAAAAAAAAAAAGAAAATCAATTTGTAGTATCAATTTGCACTTCCAGTAAAATCAAGGCTTGCAGACAGTTTTCTTTCTGGGTGAAATCTTCCACTCCTCCCCATTTCCAGCCCAGCTGGTTGCTCTATTCTGTGCTGGTCATTTGGATTCTGAGTCAGAATGAGTGGTCTGTCATGGCTGTTGGCCACATCATGGGAGTCACATTGAGGAACTAGAAGAGGTGCACCACGGCCAGGCATGGTGGCTCATGCCTGTAATCCAAGCACTTCACAGGCAGCTGATAGGAGGGTTTTCACTGTGAGGCCAGTCTAGGCAGAAAGTTTATGAGACACCCCCCTCCCCCTCCATCACAACCAATAAAACCAGGCATAGTAGTGTATGCCTGTCAGCCCAGCTGTGCAGTAAGGTGCAGAGGCGGTCTAAGGTCTAGCCTCACCCCAGGCAAAACCCATAACCCCACTCTAGAATGAGAGTGCTCAAAACAAAGTTCACATAGCACAGCGCCAGCCCAATACACTCAGGGTCCTGGGTTCTAAACCCCAGTACTCACAGAGATGAAGGGTTCACCATGCTTCTATGTGACTCTCCTGAAATTATGATTGAATTGAATGAAGACGGGTGACCTGGATGAGGGACATCACCATGGAGACCACTGCCACCCATGTCCTGGGTACACAGGCTGTGGGGTTGGCTGGGGGCCAGGACGTGGATGTGCAGTTGTCAGTGCCTCTGGGTGTGTGTTTCTCGATACTTTCCTGCCCAGGCTGGCTTTGAATTGCAATCTTCTACCTCCTGATTTGCTAGGATTACAGGCATGAGCCACTGTCACCCAGCTCTTTCCGATGCTCTAACCCACCTCTTTCCAGAACATTTCTCTGCTCCCTGCCCATAAAGAGGAATTTCCAGCCTGGAGTTCAGACTGCATTAGATTCAGGGTGCCAGCACATAGCCGTGTGTGATATCCTCAGAAAGGAAGATGTTTCTTCCCAGCAGGCTTCTCCCTGGCGCTTGCTCTCCATCCTGACCAGAATTGGAAGCTGGACAGTTGTTTGGTTACTGTGTGCATTTAGTGTGTCTCCATGAGGGCTTGGTTTCTGGCACACTGCCCCACACAGCATAGATGCTGGATCCTGTTTGATGAGTGAATTAATGAGCTGGATTAAATGCATGGTCAGATCAGATTCCGTGGAACAGTGTTCCAATGAAAGTGCATGCTCACTGGGAGCCGTCTGGCACTCTCATGCCAGGGCTCTTTTGCCCAGGGCAGAAGTCAGTGTTTTCCTCTCTGCTTCCCTGTCCTCAGACACCAGGCGGTCCATGTGGCCATGTCTGTTCTGGAGTGTTTGTTCGCTGTAGTTGTGACCTTGCTCCATTTAATCCTCAAGAAAGTGCACCATCCTGTGTCTACCACAAGATGGCATGCCTGGGCCCCTCCAGCGGATCTGATCTCCTGGCTGTGGTAGCCAGAGCTCAGCAGCCACCAAGGTTTTGAAGAATCCTGAGTGTCAGTGGGAAGAGAGGACTTGGACAGGGATGGCTGGTGGTCAAGGCTGACCAGGCCTACTCCTCGCTGGGCACAGGGTGTCCATGTGACATACACTGCATCTGTGTGTACACGTGTGCCTCTACACACTGGGGCGGGAAGGGAGGGTGGAGAGGGCCTACCACACATGGCACCCTGCCCACAAAAATGGCACAGTGTCCAACTGGGTCTTAACTCTGGTTGGTCTGCGGTTTTGTGGTGGTGGTGGTGGTTTTTGGAGAAAAGGGTCTCTCTGAGAATGAGAAAAGTAACATTCTCTTAAAACTCCAAGTTGAAAACTAAAACCTTTCTTGGCCTACCCCTCCAGAGGACTTGGGTCCTGACCTCAGCACTTAGTGGAGAAACTACGTTCGCAGGCAGATGCTTCTCTCCCACCCGAAGACTGTGACCACAGGACCACCCACAGTTCTGTCATCGACGTTTTGGTCTGGGTCTCTAGGATGACGTAGCCAGGATGCTGCCCGCTGGCTCGGGGAGCTGTCTCTCCTGGGTGTGGAGGCTGAGGCTCCTGTCCCTTGTCATCTCTCTGTAGGTTTCCTGTTTGGCCTTAAAGGAGCAGGAGGAAGAGTGGGCTACCCCGGGCCTTCCGGCTTCCCAGGCACCCGAGGACAGAAAGGGTGGAAAGGTAAGGGATAGAGGGGAGGGGAAAGGGCCTCCACCTGGCCCTAAGCCCACTCTGCCCTGCAGATGGCTCATACATTCTCTTGAGCCTTGTTGGGTGAGCATTTCCAGTCCAAAATCCACGTCGCTCCAAACTTCTGAAGTGACTGCACACGTGGAAAAATTCCACGTGAGCTCACATGACAAAACACAGCTGCACTAGAGTTGCGTAGAGCTGATGTCGGTCTGACTGTGTGATCGGTGTCTGGGTGTGTGGATGGAGTCACGCCTTCCCTCCCTGCCATGCTACCACACTGTATGGAAGTCTTTCAAAGTGTGGAAGGTTTCTGACCCATTAAGGGCTGCCTAGCAGTGATGGCGGAGGCTGGGCTCCCCACCCTGGGCAAAAATGGACAGGCACAGCTGGGGCCTGGCCTTCTTCCTCACCGGGCTACGTAGTATACAGCCTGCACTGGGCAAAGGAGACACAGTTGCTCCTCAGGCCAGTCTCAGGTGGTGGGCCCATCATGGGTCAGGGTGTGAGCAGATACGAGGAGCGTGGGTGCAGAGCTCTGTGGGGGAGGGGTAGCCCCTCCCTGTCCCCTGGGTGCCGCCCTCCGTGACTGAGGTCCATGGCAGCCTTTGTGCTCCAGCTGTGCCCCAGGGGGCCAGGCCCACAGACAGCAGGAAGTCCTGACCCCCAGACCTCTTAGTGGCAAGACAGAATAGAGGCCAGCACTTCTTCCCCAGTCAGCCCTGGCCTTGGCCAGGCCGGCCTGCAGCCAGGGCTCCTAGAGCCAACTGCTCCTCTCGGGCCCAGTGGATACAGCCCTCTATGCCCTCAGATCTTTGCCTCCAGGAACAGCTCCACTTTCTAACGTGCAGTGAACAGAGTAGGATTTGGAACCCTTGAGTGCCTGACCACTGGGCCTGCTTTTCCCCAGGAACTTTACGGTTCTGCCCTCAGCCCTGCACCCCACCTTCCCCACCCCAACCTGCCCCCATTAAGGAGCATGCCCTCTCTCACTCCATCCCCACCCCCGCAGGTGACTCTGGGGACTGCAAATGTGCAGATGATTTTCCCGGGGGCCTCCCCGGACGACCCGGACCCAAGGGCTTTCCAGGCATCAACGGCGAGCCCGGAAGGAAAGGCCAGCAAGGGGACCCGGGGCAGCATGGCATCCCTGGGTTCCCAGGGTTCAAGGTGAGACACAGCGCCCTCCAGTGGCCATCTGTAACCTAGCTCAGCACACCCAAGCCTTGCCCAGGTGCCCCATTCTTGGCTCTTGAGATTTAAGTTCCTGCAGCTTTAGACCAATCGCACTCCTCTGTCCAAGTTGGGAGATGGATTTCCAAAGCCTCAGGGTCCAAGAGGAACTTTTATAACTTCTACCAGTGGGACTGTGAAATGGTGCGGCCATTGTGAAAGATAGTCTCACATCACTGCAACACGTGAGGCTGCCTAAGACCCGGGGACAGCAGCTCCCAGGTGTGCACGGGACAGGGACTGTGTCCTCACAAGTGGATGTGCACCAGTGCTCAGAGATCTTGCCGGGAGGTATCAGAACAGTAGACGCACCTGCATGGCCATGCTCTTGTCTTGTGAATGGGCTGAGAGAACGCACTGTCCCCCAATGGCTTCTCCATCAGCCTCAGAATGGGGACACTCTGCAACATGGTGCAGTGTCGTGCAGGGATGGGCTTTGGGGACCCTGTGCCGAGGGAAATGGCAGACGGCAGAACAGGGTTCTGGGAATGCCATCCAGCTGGAGTGCTCAGAACCGTCACATGACAGGGAGGAGGGACGGGCAGGCCGCTGCTTGATGGGTGTGGGTGTCTTTTGGCTCTGATGAAGATGATCTGTAACCAGACAATGGTGACGATACACAGCCTAAGAAGTAGCAAAAGATGAGATTTTATGCTCTTAAACAGTGAGTTTTTATGCCTTTAAACAGTGAGCATATAAATTTTGTCTTGTAAAAAGTCCTGCTTTAGACCAGTTACTAGTACCTGTCATCCTAGCTACACAGGAAGTTGAGATCTGAGGATTGAGGTTCAAAGCCACCCTGGGCAGGAAAGTCAGTGAGATTCTTATATCCAATAGCCACCAAAAGCCAGAAGTGGAGCTGTGGCTCAAGTGGTAAAATGCTAGCCTTGAGCAAAATAACGTTCAAGGACAAGGCCCAGGCTCTGAGTTCAAGCCCCAGAACCTGCACAAAGAAATTAAACTAAAAACAATGTTTTTAAGTCCTGCTTTATTTTGAATGGAGAGCTTGTTAATTAGTGCACAATCTTCTCTTCAGATTTAGTAGGAGCCGACTTAGCATCTTAGGTATGCTTTCTTAATCCAATGAACATTATGAAAGGGGAAGAAAAGTACATTGCACGGAACTGTGGGAAATTTTATTTGTGACTATATTTTTTGAAGTTGCAGGAGTTGCACCAGGCAGTTACAATTTGACAAACCCATCTAAGTTTCTGTGCTTTTCAATCAGAGGCACCCTTCCAACAGTCTGTGTGTTCTCACTGAGTATTCGCACTCATGGAGTCTGGCCAAGCACTTGGCCAACAAACACCCGCTGAGTGCCACCCGTGTGTGTGCCCAGGGCCCCGCCTGAGTAGTGGAGGAATGTCACCCCTGTCTGCCAAAACTAAGTTCATTAATCAAGTACCAGTGGAATTCTCTACAACCACTTGTGATGTTCCATTTAATTAAACTAAAACTCAGAGCTCACTCCCATATTCTTGTAAATGGCATCAACCCAAGTGAGCACCTCACATAAACTTGAACAACCCCACGCCCTCCGCCTTCTCAATTCTGCCCATTAAAAGAGCTGCACTAGCTTGTTACAGCCTAAAATGGGAGGGTCTCCTGCTCTTGAAAGCAGGTTTTCCCTCAACCTTGGCCGCGCTTTGCAAAAGACAGGGTAAAGGATGGTGGGCTTTTATCCTTTGTAATTGGATTCAAACGTAGATAAGCAAACTTGGTGTGCAGTTAGGACTTCAGGAAATTTTAAGTTCTAGGTCAGAGCTTCTAGAAACATTGAGTCTAAGAATCCTTGGACCTTTTTGACATCTGGGTCGGGATCCAGCTGCCCCTGGGTGGAGCCTGAGTACCTGCACTTCCCACCGAAGTGATACAGGGCCCAGGGAGGGGGGAGGAGCTGTGGGAACCCTGCAATGCTGGCCCTCTCTTAAATAGGGAAACATCGGGTTTTCTAGCCACCTGGGGTTAGTTCCATTACATTTTATTAATTTAAATTCAGTTCCTTGGGCCCCCTGCCTGTCACCCCAGTGTGAACCCCCACTGTGGAAGCGGCTGGGTGCTCGGAGATCTGTGGCCTTATGGGAGGTCATTTCAGGCTCCCTGACCTCAATGACGGGCGATCTCCCGCCATCCAGTGAGCCGAGGAGCGTTCTTTCCTCAGATGTCCATAGCTGTCTAGAGGTGAGACATTTTGTGCCTGTTCCCACAGGGAGCCCCTGGCCTGGCTGGAATCCCTGGCCCCAAGGGAATAAAAGGAGACTCAAGGACCGTCACCACCAAAGGTCAGCAGTTCTCCAACTACGTAGTTGTCTGTGAGTGCAATCTTGGTGAGGGCTGACGAGTAAACTCTTCCACAGGTGAGAGGGGGCAGCCAGGGGTTCCCGGTGTGCACGGGATGAAGGGTGATGATGGCGTCCCCGGGCGTGATGGGCTCGATGGATTCCCGGGCCTCCCGGGCCCCCCTGTGAGTAGCTGCCATGGGGAGGGGTGGGAGTGGGCTTGGCTCTTTTGTCTTTGCCTTCATCCACCAAGCCCATGCCAGGACAAGGCAGCCCATCTTAGTGAGCGGAGGCGATGTCTTTAGGAAGGAGTGAGTAAAGTTGGAAGCCAAAAGAGAGTAAACTCTGAAAGAGGAAATCAGAGCCCCCCCCCCACACACACACACTTCAGGAAACAGAATATTCTAAACTGTGTGTGATTTCTGCAATGGCCCTGGGAAACGGGGAGCCCTGACAAGATGGCACACCCCTCCCACGGCCCAGAGCGCCCCGCCTCCCCTCACCTCCCATGATGCCCCAGTCTACGGCTGGCTTCCCATCGCAGGATGAGCCTCTAAGGGTGCCCGGCCCCTCTTCTCTTCCCAATCCAATGGTCTCTGCAGCACACAGCTCTTTCTCGCTCACCCAACCGAGCTTCCTTTCCTCCAGTAGAGTCCATGTGAGCAGCAGACACACCACAAATGCGAGCCATAACCACAGTCCCCCGGGCACCCCCATCCCTCTGATTCCCCCCACCCATGCCTCACCTGTCCTGGTGCAGAGCTCTTCCCATGTGGGAATTCTGCCAAGGCAGGTGCTGGTGGCTGGGAGGGAGAAGCCACTGCCAAAAAGCAACCCGCCCTCTACCGCATCTGTTAGAGAAGCGCCGTGAAGCCCAACACCAATCCTTGGTGCCTGGTCCCCAATGGGTTCTATGCTTTTCTGCTCTTTCTCTGTAGCTCAGCATGAAATCCTGGAGTTGGGGGTGGAGGGGCATGTTGGCCCATCCGCTATTAGAATAACGTGGGTTTTCTGGCAGGGCGATGGCATCAAGGGCCCTCCAGGGGACTCCGGCTACCCAGGCATTCCTGGAGCCAAGGGCTTTCCAGGAGAAGCGGGACCCCCGGGACTGGGCTTACCAGGCCCAAAGGGAGAGCGTGGTTTCCCAGGAGATGCTGGACTGCCTGGACCCCCAGGCTTTCAGGGGCCTCCCGGACCCCCAGGAACCCCAGGACAAATAGGTAAGAGACAGTCTTCATCTCCCACATCCTGGACACGGCCCTATGTCTCCTTCTGCCTCCTGTCCCTCGGCACCCATGCATGGGGCCCCACGGACCCAGACCGGACCTCCATGCTGGCCTGTCTGTTCTCAGTACATGAACCATCACACACTACATGCACTGACTGGTCTTCTCTGCACTTGCTTATCCTGGGCACAGAGCTCTGAGCCTCCCCAGCATGGAGCGTACACACACACACACACACACACACACACAAACACACACACCGGTAAGTCAGTGACTTTCAATGGTATCTGAAATTGTGTCTCCCCTAGATTGTGACACTGGCGTGAAAAGGCCCATTGGAGGTGATGGACAAGATGCTGTTCATCCAGGTACAGTGACTGGATTACTTCTGGTTAATGAACTCCATGACTCACTGACAAGTGCCATCAAGCTCACGTGGAATGCCCATGCTCAATAGTCATGCGTGTTAGAAATAGTCCTGTGTGCGAGACACGTGGTGCTGGCACCCCACTGCTTCAGCATAGATCAAAGGAGAGGCTGGCAGTGTGAGGCAGTGTCATTGGGCTGCACACATGGCAGAGTACATGCCTGTAGCCACTCCCAATGCTTGAGACCCAAGCTCGTGCTCATCACCTGCACCTGGGTGGGGACAGCGTGGAATTGTGGCCGTGTAGACCAGGTACATGCCATGACTGACTGAGCCACAGGTAGTGGTTCATGCCTGTGATCTCAATACTCGAGGGGCTGAGACAGGAGGATCTCTGGCTACATAGCATACCCCCAAAATTAATTAATTGATTAATTAAAAGGTGGGAGGAGAAGGCAGAGGGAAAGAATCTAGTCTCGCTAAGAATGACTAGAAAGCACAGGACTACAGACAAGAATGGTCCCAAGCTCTTATGCAGGAAGCTGCCCAAGGCCAGTCTGGCCACCTAGTAGACTTGGAGGCTACAGAGGGAAGCTGGGAGGCGGACAGGGCAGATGCTTGGAAAATGCCAGGCTTTATTCGGGAAGAGAAAGGCCAAGAGTGAGCTTCACCCACTTACGGCGCTATGGGGATAGTTGATTGAGAGTCAGGGCTCTGAAGGGGTGGAGAGTTCAGGTCTGACTCAAAGGGAGGCCAGTGTTGAACTGGCATCCGCAGCCTCCATAATGTTTGGTATAGGCCAGCACTGAGCTGTGGGAAGGCCCAGGCTCAGGAAGAGCGCACCAAGGGAATGCATGGGCACAGGCCCTCTGGGTGGTCCTGGCTCCTCTTTCTGGGGGACCTGGCTTCACCGCTCTGCCTTCCAGATATTGGAGGCAGATGTTCCAGGATCCTGGAAATGTGTATTCTCTGTGCCAGGCAGGTGGAGGACCAGCACATCTGCAGCGAGCAGCTCTCGTTGGACAGACAAGGGCCCAGCCCACCTGGGCTGGCCATCCGGTGGGACCAGAAGCAGGGGTAGAGAGTGGAGGGGAGAAGCACTCAGGACACCCTGGCATCTCCTGACACTGGATTGCCAGGCAGAGGTGTCCTAACAGAGCAAGGAAGGCCTGGGAGACTCCGGCTGAGCCAGGCTTAGAGGCCACAGCCCAGATCTCACCTCAGCAGCAATGAAGGGGTTACCCCTTGGGTGTGAGGGGGTCTAGGAACCCAAGACCTTGAATATACAGCCATTCTGAGCTGTGCCAAGGCCCTGCGGGCGGGGGGCAGCTGATAACAGGTAGGATGAAGGAGACCAGTGGGAAGCCAAGGCATTTGAGGGCACTGAACGGCACTGTAGCCCAGGGCTCTGCTCACCTGGCTGCCCCTCTCGGAACATTGTGGATGTAAAGCACAGCATGGAGTGAACAGATCACCTTGGCACTGTCAGAGGGACTGACAAACTACTGCACAAAGGACAACTGAAAGGGACAGAGACAGGGCCCAGTCTTTTCCTCTGAAGTCCAGGAGGTTCTCTGTGGAGCACCAACTCTGCTGCCACCAGGAGAAGAAGGTCCGGGAGGCCCAAGTCCTGTCTGACTGGGAGCCTACGCCCTATTCCCAGGCAGACATCAAAAATGAGGCCAAGAAAGGCAGTGCTGTGGGCAGAAAGGCAGTGCCACAGGACAGAAAGACAGTGCCACAGGACTACCTTCCCAGCAAAGGACACCAGTAGTCCTGCTGAGATGCCACGGCTCTGCACCTCAGCAGCCAGCAGTGTTTGCAGCCCTGTGTTCATTCCAGACTGCTCAATGCAGCAATCAATATGGTGGTCAAAGTGTCTGGAGACAGAGGAACTGCACGCATCTCCACGGCTGACAGACATCCTTAGATGGAAGGAGCTCACACTGATTTGGTGTAGACCAAGCTGGTCACCCTCCTCCAGGGAATGAAGCATCCATCAGCACACTACGCATTTTTACTGCCAGATTTGATTTGTGTTTACGCCAGTATTGTACACATTTTACATTACTGTTCCAGTTTGATTAACCAATGAAGTTAAATTCATTCCATCAGAGCCACATTAATTAGTCTGATTATAACCCGGTCATGCTTCACCTAGCTGCTTTGGACCTTACCAGGGTGCGTCTGTTTACCCATCCCTCCCCTCTCTCCAGATTGCGTTGGAGGACCACAGGGATCACCCGGCCTGCAAGGATTCCCGGGCCCCGCAGGTAATGGCAGTACACATTCAGCCTGCAGGTCACACCCTTGGGCTTCTGCTCCCTCCCTGCCCTGCGTGCTGGCCCTCCCCACTCACGGAGAGGAGTTCTACCAGCCCTGCCCCACGCCCACTGCTGGCCGCGTTCATGTCCCCCAAGATCGTAATGTCGTAGCCATGGGCACGTTGCCGAACCCCAGGTTCAAGGAGGCATTCCTACCACAGAGAACTCAATCCTGAAGGCAGGCCACACACGCAAAGATACCATCCCAGCTCTGCATCCCAGCTTTGTCTTAGGCCTCACTGAGCCAGGAGTGGGAGAGGGTCTTTCCCCTTGTCCCCACAGAACCTGATGTGGTTTGGGGTTCACTTTGATTGTACAGGTGCCAAAGGCCTCAGAGGAATACCAGGATTCCCGGGAGCTGACGGAGCCCCAGGACTCAAGGGCTTCCCGGGAGACCCAGGTCGTGAAGGCTTCCCCGGGCCCCCAGGTGAGTCCTGCTGGGCCCTTGGCCCTCAGCTCTGGGAAGGGCGCGTCGGTGTGAGCCAGTAGCCTCCGCCAGGACCAGGAAGTTGTTTCAACGTTTGTTTCAACAAGTGCTTGATGCCAATGGGTGTCAGTGTGTGGGGGAGATGCAAATTCCCTGGCTCTTCCTTGCTCATGGCCTGGATTCCTGCCCCGGCAGTGGGTGGGTGCTGCAGAAGTGCTGTTCCTGATGGATACGAAGCACTCTGGAGAAAGCCTCAATGGCTAGTGACAGTGCTCCATCCCAAGGGAGAGTGATGGCATCCATAGTCACATTCACGTCACCTCAGCTCCCTCCTAGCCACCAGGCTTTCTTACTAGAGAGGCGGCAGTCCGTGCACTGGTCAGCATGTGAGGATGAGATCTGAGGGGACCACTCTTGCCTTTCAGGGTTCATGGGACCCCGAGGATCAAAAGGGGCCGCAGGCCTCCCAGGCCCCGATGGATTCCCAGGCCCCATCGGCCTACCGGGGCCAGCTGGGCCTCCTGGGGACAGGGGCCTTCCAGGAGAAGTGCTGGGGGCCCAGCCCGGGCCGCGAGGAGATGCCGGACTGCCTGGACACCCTGGGCTCAAAGGCCTTCCAGGAGACGTAGGCCCGCCCGGATTCAGAGGTGAGACATGAGGTGGGCTGGGAAGGCACAGGGCCCTGTCCCCACCACATGGGCTGCAAGGTGAGCCCCAAGGCCTTCTGCAGGCTCTGTGCCCAGAGCTGAGCAGCCATGAGGAACAGCGTGGGGGAGGAGGGGCTCGCCCAGAGCGCACTGAACAGGGTGCTGGTTTCGGTGTTTTGGTTTTTCAGGGTTTGGGTTTTTTTGGTTTTTTTTGAGATGGTCTTACTGATGAGCCCTGGCTGGCCTCAAAAAGCTTCAGCATTCCTGCCTCAGCCTCCCCAGTGCAGAGATTACACCTACCAAGTGGTGCTTTTTTATTGTTTAATGTCATCAGGAACACAGTGTTCTCAGTATATGTTTAACAAAGCAAAAGATGCACACTGTGCTTGATCAGACAATCATGTACATCCTCAGGCCAGATACCCCCGAGCTAGAAAAGCTGGTGTGTTGTATTTGCTCATTTGTAGCATTTGTTCGATATTGGAACCTGACCTGAAATACTCAGCTCCAAAGAAAGACTCTGGAGTAAACACCCAAAGGAGCAAAGGACCCCTTGCCTGACTTTTCCCTGCAGCCCCTGAAGTAAGAGAAGTCACAGCACACTGGCAGACCGGTAGCCTGTCCCATCCCATCGTCTCCCAGGCAGGAAGCGCCCACACACACCCACTGACCTCCACCCCACAGCATGGCCTGGCACCCGCCACCTGACTTGCTCACATCTCTCAGGCCACAATCTCACCTGGGTTCTGTCGCTAACTTGTGTCCCCAACCACCATTCTTATTAGAAGTATTGTGGAGGGTCTGCTGAACCCCACACACCAGGCCCTTCCCCACTCTGACAAGGCCCTTCACACCCCGGAGCAAGCCCTGCTCTGTAAAGATAGAGCACAGACGATACACGTCCTCATTTCCACAGAGCAGTAGGAGCTGAGCTCAAGCGTCTGCTGTTGGTTACTTACAGGTTATCACAGCCAGACAGCCAGAGACTCGGGCACCTGACTGGAGCCTGCTGGTTGGGCCAAGGCTGACTCAGTCCCGCCTATGTCCTTCCCTTGCTCCTCATAACCGCCCCTCACCCCCAGAGGGATGGTTTGGGCTCAGTAAGAAAGTGCACAGAAAGCTGGGTGTCCGTGGCTAATGCCTGTCATCCTAGCTACTCAGGAGGCTGAGATCTGAAGATCGCCATTCAAAGCCAGCCTGGGCAGGAAATTCCATGAGACTCTCCAATAAACCACCAGAAAACCAGAAGTGGTGCTGTGGCTGAAGTGGTAGAGCACTTGCCTTAAGCTGAAGAGCTGAGGGACAGCACCCAGGCCCAAAATTAAGCCCCATGACTAACAAAAAAAAAAGAAAAGAAAAGAAAAAGTGCACAGGAGAGGCCCTGCCAGGCTGGCCTTTGCTGTACTCACTGGACTGCAGCTAGAAGAGAGGAAGAAAAGAGAAAATGTCCAGACCCAGGGAGGTCCAGAGATAGAGAAAGAGAGCAGTGGAAGAAAATGTGTGCGCACAGTATGAGTGTGTACTGGAAGGGCCAGGACTGTGTGTGCAAAGCTGAAGGGAAGGAATTAGAATTAGCACATGCATGCACACACACACACACACACACACACACACGGGCATCTATGTCACATACACACAAGATGATGAAATTTGGGTGCAAACATTCACATGCTGTATCGTAGAAAAGAAACTTGGAGCAGCAACTTGAAATAGAGCCCAAGGATTAGCGGTCAGTACGCCTCAGGCTCCTGCTTCTAAGGAGCAAATGCCAAAGCCTAAGAGAAAAGCAAGCAGCCTTCCAGAGGAGAACACAAGTAAACAGTAAGCACCGTGCCAAAAGGCAAATGCTGGGAAGAAGAAACACTGCCCATCAACAATAACATAACAACCTACAGCCCTGCTCCATCTGGAAGTCTCCCCGCACCACATTCGCCAGGACGCTGGCCGTGCCCAGCAGGAGGCTTGGGGCTGAGGAGCACGGGGACACACACAGTGGAGTTCCATTGCTGATGTCAGTGGCACACAGTTAAAATGTAGCATCTGCTTCAACCTGCTGGCTCCATTTCTAGAGCACGTCTCCTCGAAGTGGTCTGCCCACGTGTGTGAACTCCATGTGTGAGCCCCTCGTGGTTCCTCACGGCCGTTCATAACACAGAATGGCACGCGTGGAAGCTGCCGTGTGGTGGGTGGTCTATTCACGCAGCCATGTAACTGTCTGCAAACAGTACTGTCACATGTGGCACGCTGCAAAAAGAACAATGTCGAGTTAAACAAGCTATGTTAAAGTAGAAATTGTGGTGCCATCTCAACCCTCAATTTCTATTTCCTGGCCTGCATATGGGGATGGGAATGTGACAGGGAGTTAGTAATCATCCAGGTGATCGGATGACACCCCGCAGCTTCATTCTCTGGGCTTCTTTGCATTGTCCAGACTTTCAGTAATCCTGAACTCAGTCCTGTGTTACAGCCTCGGGGGGAACGGGGCACGTGCTGTCCCCGAGGTGCAAGGGTAGAGTGGCCTCACATGTCCTCTCTAATTCCTGCAGGAAGCCAAGGGATGCCCGGCGTGCCGGGGCTCAAGGGCCAGCTGGGCCTCCCCGGACCTTCGGGTCATCCAGGACCAACCGGACCTCCCGGACGGCACGGGTTCCCAGGAGCTCCTGGGCAAGGAGGACCCCCAGGGCTGCCAGGAGCCCCAGGTCTTGGAGGTAAGACAGCACCCCCCCAAAGGGGAGGGACCCTCTCCACAGCACAGAGAACAGAACTGCACCAGCCCTCAAGGGAAGTCCCCAAACTGTGTTCCAAGGAACCGCCAGGAGCTGTGAGGGGTTCCCAACACAGGACATACCTCTCACCAGAGAGAACATAAATGGTCGCCCTGGCACCTGCTGTACCTATTGGGGGTCTAGGTATAAAGTCATTAGAGAATGATTTTAAAAAAAAAGACAAGAAACTCGTACTATGAAAGTTCAAAAACAGTGCTCTGCTCCGGGGAGATGTCAAACAAAGCGAGAAGGAAGGCAGAGGCCCTGGCATTGTCCAGCGACGGGGCAAGGGTCTGGCGTCGGCCCTGGCAGCGCCTTCCTCCCCGGGGGGGGGGGGGGCCTTGCTCCTGCAGCACGGTCCACGGGCTTCTGCACCTCATGGACCAATAAATGCATCCTCATTTTGCCTGAGACTAGGTCTCACTGTGATGCCTAGGCTGGTCTTGAACTCTGGGCTGAAATGATCTTCCCACCTCAGCCTCCCAAATGCTGGAACTGCATCCAAAAAAGCATTAGACAGCTGCATGCTTGCCCGGCAAGAACAGTTTGGTTTGTTTTTCTTTGTTTTCATCAAGTTGCTACTCTCCCCAGTGTTTTGTCAAGGACCCTGTAACAGTGACAAAGGGAAGACAGTTCCGTACAAATGTCTTCACAGTAGAATACAGCAACTTTTTTTTTTAAGCTCCCAGTCTTGCCTGTCAGCCTCTGCTTGTTCATGGTCAGGCATTAAGTTTGTGGAGAGCTTTGGGGGCTGCTGTGTGTACACAGAGCACCCCGGCCTCAGCACCCCCACACAGCAGCAATGTCCCCACAGAGCGGGCCGCGCCCCCGCCCACCACTCCGCCCTCTGCCACGGCTCTCCATTCCTGGGTTCCTAGAGGCAAGGAGCTTGGATGAGGGGATCTCACGGGGCCTTCTCAGGAGGACCTCGGAAAGGCCAGTCCTGTGGGGCTCCCCAGGCTCAGCCCACCCCAAAAACTCACCTCTACCATGCCCTGGCTCCTCTTCCATCTATGGGGGTTCTTACAGAAACGTGTATTTGATGTCCAAGAGGAGTTCATACTCCACGGCCCTTTATAACTCTTGCTTCTCCTCTTTCTGACAGGCCTGCCCGGTGACAGAGGGGAGCCTGGCGATACTGGTGCCCCCGGCCCAGTGGGCATGAAGGGTCTCTCCGGCGACAGAGGCGAAGCTGGCTTCTTAGGCGAGCAAGGTCACAGAGGAAACCCTGGATTTAAAGGGATGGCCGGCATGCCTGGCTCCCCTGGGCAGAAAGGTAAATGTGCTGCTGTGGCCAGTAGATTGCCTGTGGATCTGTGGCAGTCACACACTGAGCCGGGCAGCTGTCCACCTATGACTGCAGGGGCAAAGCCACGGGACCCCAAGAGGTCACTGGGGTGGGACTCAGGCAGGACCAATATGCTTCAAAATGCCAGTTAGTCACCTTCCCAAGGAAGGATCCATGGCCCGAGAAACAATTATCATTGACAGAAGGAGGTTTCCAGACAGGCCATTCGTAACACGGGCTTCCGGTGAGGAGGCTGATGACATTTTCATTTAACCCCTTGGGTTGCTTCCTTCACACTCTCTGGACACAGCTGCACACAGCGCTTTCCAGGCCGTGAATATGGCTGGGTCTCTGATCACCTGATCTGCCCTGGCAGGTCTCCACACAGGGGACAATCACCTTCATCCCTGTGACCTTTTCTCCTGTAGGCCTAGGCCTGGGCTCCCTAAGACTGTCCCTGGCTCTGTCGCCTGCCTTGCTGGGCCCATCTCCAGTGGCTGTCCACCCCCAATGGGATGGATACAGGCTGGCCCTCTGTCTGCATGCTGCTCACCAGAGGCTCTTAGATCCCCAAGAATCCCGTTACAGGTTGAGGGTCGTGGCATCTTGTCATGTAGATTACATGAGACTAACCCCTACCTGCTTCTCCCATTCCCTGTGCAGGAGAGCGTGGCTCACCTGGAATGGATGGCTTCCAGGGAATGATCGGACTCACAGGAAGACCTGGCTTCCCAGGCTCCAAAGGAGAGGCTGGGTTTTTTGGAATACCTGGTCTGAAGGGCTTACCGGGCCAGCCAGGTGTTAAAGGTAAGCCTCTCTCGCAACCTACCCCATGTGGTCAAGACTAAGGACCACCCCCTCCCTCAACACCCAATCTAGAGCTGGACAAAAACCCAAACCAACCAAAGGAGTGAAAGCTGAAAGGCTCCCTCCAATGGTATATGAGCATTCCTAACCACCGTAAAACCTTGAGCCAAAAATACAGGCAGCATTCAGATGCCACAAAAAAAAAAAAAAAAAAAAAAGCTGAGCACTGATGGCTCATCATTCTAGCTACTCAGGAGGCTGAGACCTGAGGACCACAGCTTGAAGCCACTTTGGGTAGACATATCCAAGACTCTTTATCTCCAACTAACCACCAAAAAAGCCAGGAGTGGGGCTGGGAAGGTAGCTCAGTGGTAGAGTGTTTGCCTTGCATGCATGAGGCCCTGGGTTCAATTCCTTGGTACCACATAAACAGAAAAAGCCAAAGTAGTAGTGCTGTGGCTCAAGTGGTAGAGCACTAGCCTTGAGCTGAAAAGCTGAGGGACAGCGCCCAGACCCAGAGTTCAGGCCCAATGACTGGCAAAAAAAAAAAAAAGCCAGAAGTATCAGGAGGCTGAGATTTGAAGACTATAGTTCATAGCTTGCCCAGGCGGGAAAAGTCTGTAAGACTCTTATCTCCAACTAACCACCAAAAAGCAAGAGATACAGCTGTGACTCAAGAGGTAGAGTGAGTGCCAGTCTTGAGCAAAAAAGCTTAGGGACAATATGAAGAACCTGAGTTCAAGACCCAGAATGGACACACACACACACACACACACACACACACACACGGAAGAATGGGTGAAGTCATAGAACACCAGCCTTGAGAGAAAAAGCAGAGGCCCTGAGTTCAAGCCCCAGATGCCATAAAAATACACTCCATCAGAATTCTGCCATAGTGCCTTCCAAAAATGTGCTAGGAAGAAGTAAATTTCAAAGGAGAAAAGAAGGTCAGAGTTTCAAGAGGAGAGACAGTGTACTTAAAAAAAAAAAAAAAAACAGAAGTTACTTGGAAATTCTACTCCTTCCTGAAGATAATTAGGAACATTTTCATTTTCATAAGAGCCCCCACATGGACACAATCCAAATATCCATCAACCAAAGAATAATAAATAAAATAGGGTGCAGATACAGGGCAGATTTGCAGCCATCAAAGAGTTTAAGGTCCTGTTACACAATGGAGCCTCAACATGGATAAACCCTAGAAACTTCTACCGTGTGGCATGTGGTCCCATTTCTGAGATGTCCCATGGATCATGTCTACAGAGATAAAGTCGACAAGAGTCTTCCAAGCTCTGTGAGGGTGAGGAAGAATGGGGGACCATCTGCTAAGGACCGGATGTCATCTGCTATGCTGACCTCGTAATGTTAGGTTCACAGCTCTGGCAATGTGAAAAAAAAAATAGAAACATTCCATTGTTCCCTTTAAAGGAATGCGTTATGTAATATATACATTTTTACATTGAGAAAGCTCTCTAAGTTTGAAGAGCCTTGGGGTCTGGGGTATAGTCCAGGGGCAGAGCCAGCCTCCCTGCTCACCATCAGAGGCCGTGTGAAAGGCAGTGCTGAGCAGATGCAGATCCCACACAGCCTCCGGGGCTTCTCTGTCACTGGTCCTGAGGCCCCTGGACATGTTAGCAGGCCTGGACTTTCCGTCATTCCACTGTGGGCTCCTGTGCTCGGAGACGGTTCACAAAGCACTCTGTGGGGGGAACAGAGAAGGGACGTCTCTGCCCACCGAAGTCCTGGAGGCTGGCTGTAGGGAGACCAGGCTTGGGGCCTTGGAGGGAGGTAGGAAGGGACGAGGTCTTTTCCACCTTTGCCCTGCATTGTGTGGGATCCCTGGAAATGACCCCATCTGTTTCCTTCCAGGCAACCGAGGAGACCCTGGTCCCCCAGGACCGCCACCCATCATCCTGCCGGGGATGAAGGACATTAAGGGGGAGAAAGGAGACGAGGGACCCATGGGCCTAAAGGGTTACCTGGGCTTAAAAGGTGAGGCCTGCCTCTGCCCTGCTCCCTGCCTCTCCCACCCATCACCAGAGCTCTGCCAGACTCACCTGTGCTCTCAGTCTCGGGGGGTCGCATCACTCCAGGGCACCTGAGTCTCAAGGCGTGCCCGTGTTAGCATCTGCAGTCATCGGGCTTCGAGATGCATCCAGACTGCAAACACAGGCTTGGCAAAGGCAGCTGCTGCTTCCCCAGCAGAGCCTTACATGCCAGGGTCTTCCTGCAGGTATCCAAGGAATGCCAGGGGTCCCGGGGCTGGCAGGAATCCCAGGCTTACCCGGGAGGCCCGGTCACATCAAAGGAACCAAAGGAGACATCGGAGTCCCCGGCGTACCCGGGCTGCCAGGATTCCCCGGCGTGTCTGGGCCTCCTGGAATTGTAGGGTTCCCAGGATTCACAGGAAGCAGGGTAAGTAGATCTCTCTGGCTAGTGCCTTCTGGGAGCATCTACCCACACACATATTTTGCTCTCACTGGGGTCAAAGTAGCCAAGAGAGGCTCGGAGTGAGCCTCTGACCTCCTGGGGAGAGGCCGTGCAGGCTCTGCTTCACTGATGGCCTGAATGGCCATGACCGAGCCTCTGTCCCTCAGAGGGCTTGCTGTCAGATCTCTCCATGGAGCCCTCAAGGGAATGAGGCTTCCCACGAGGTCACAATCAGTGCAGAGGTCAGAGAACTCTAACCTGAGCCAGGAGGTGACCCCAGAGCCCAGTACAGATCAGCAGTACCGATGTGAGTTAGCATCCTTCCTCCCAGAGGTCTCTGGGGCACTTGCTGTTGCCATGGTCATGGTGCAACCTGGCCTGAGCTGGGCATGGCTCCAGCCCCCACACCTGTTTTCTTCCCTAGGCTTCGCCGAGTACCATATGGGTGGTACCGTAGATGACACAGCAGTCTTGCCAGGGGGTGTGTCCTGGAGTTCTGTTCTATCCTTGGTTCAGCCACTCATGATGTGTCTGGTACCATGATCAGAGCAGGCCTGGCCCTCAAGGGTGCCCACCTGGCCAGCCACCTCAGTGTGGTTTTGGGTGTCTTTCCTCAACTGCCTGATCTGTAGCGAAAGGGAATCTTATAACCCGCTTGTGTGCAGCTGCGTCAGTGTGTAGAACACACAGATGTCCAGCAAAAGATACCAGTGACGATACACACACTGTTCCAAAGCAGGGCCGGCGGAGGGAGAGACAGCCGATGCCGTGCTGAGCACACAGCAGTAAAGGCACTGAGCTTCCAAACAATACCTGCTTCACAAGGCCATCTAACGTTGCTTCCATTTGCTTTACCTAGGGTGACAAAGGTGCTCCTGGCAGAGAAGGCCTCTACGGTGAGACTGGCCAAACAGGGGACTTAGGTAAGTGTCTGGGACAGTGAAAGGAAACAGGTGTCTGTAGCCAAGACCTCCAGGGCACACAGAGTGACCTCAGACCTGCTTAGGCTGCTGGTTGCTAGGAAGAAACCTATGTTGTTTTGTTTTGTTGCTTGCTGGCTGCAGTTTTTCACTTTGTGTAAGTACTAGAACTTGAACTCAGGGCCTGGGGACTGTCCCTTAGCTTTCTCTGCAAGGCTGGCACTCTACTGCTTGAGCTACAGCTCCATTTCCAGCTTTTTAGTGGTTAATTGGAGGTAGGAGACTCAGAGACCTTTCTGCCTGCACTATCTTCATCATCCTCAGATCTCAACCTCCTAAGTAGCTGGGATTAGAGGCTTGAGCCATCAACATTTGGCTAGAAGCAGAGGAGCCTTGCACAATACAAAGGGCAAAGCTAATACCTCTTCACAGAAGGCCTGTCCCTCACCATCTGTTCTGCATGCTGCAGGTGATGTCGGAGACACCATAGACCTACCAGGAAGTCCAGGACTGAAAGGGGAACGGGGCCTTACTGGCACACCAGGTACGCAAGTTATTTTATGTTTCTTTATACTCACCTAGCCCTGAGCCTTGTCTCTGAGTGTGGCCTGCCAAGTGTATCCGTCTTTGCCAAAAAACACAAAAGATCCTCGTAAATCACTGGGGGTCTTCAAGCCCAATGTACAAGAAAGATTTTGATGCAGTTACATCTGAGGAAACGTTCGAGCAGACCATGCTTTATAATTCATGGAGACCCATGAGAGGCCAGGCCACAGGCCTGCTGGAGTGCACACCCGCATCTGACCAGTGAGCAGAGCTGCTTGTGATCAGTGAAGGGTCTCGAAAGCGAAGCGGGACCCAGACTGCTCCCTGTAAGGCGGCTGCAGGCAGCCACGCCCTGTGTAGCCCTGTTCCTCCACTGAATATCACTGAAATCAAGTTCAAAGCACCTGCCAGGGTGCAGTCCCCAGGGACTGGTGACGCGTGTCTCCTTCGGAGGCCCCATACTACGATGATGTTGTGCTGGCCAGAGAAAGGTGGGCGCTCTCTGTCCAGCTTGCAGGACCACAGTCCCCCATCCACAAGGAGCCAGTCTTGGGCTACAATTATTTCTCACCTCTTTCCTGGGGAGCAGGGTTCCCGGGGCTCAAGGCTGGCTGCCCTCCTGTCCTCAATGTTACCATAGAAGCTTGCTTTATAAAAGCAGGGAAGTGAGACCATCTCTGCCGTGTGCGTCACTGATGACTTTGCTGGACTACGTGAACATGGCAGGCTAGGGCCTGCCAATCTCCCCAGGGGGGGAGCCCACGTGTTCCCTGGCATACAGTGCATGTTAGCATCGCCCGATGGACGCCCTGCGCTGGTTGCCTAATAACGCAGCCCAAAATTCAGTGACTGCACATGTCAGCTCTGCAGGGCAGAGACTCGGGGTCTCTCGTGAGATCCACACCGTGAGGTCAGCCTGCACTATGACCATCTGAAGGCCATCCTGGGATGAGGTGCCCTTCCCAAGATGGTGCATTCAGCCACCGTTGACGGGAGGCCCCAGTCCTGGCCCACAGGGCTGCCGGAGGGCCCCAGCGCACAAGCTGCCTCCCCCATGCCCAGAGAATCCAGGTGAAGACAGCACTGAGTTTCATGTCCCAGACTTGAGGCGCTGTGTCCAGTGTCCCAGGGGTCAATCGGTGTCCTGATGTCCTGTGTAGGGAGACGGCAGAACGGATTGGCGGGTGCCCTCATGGAGGCCAGCTGCCTCCCTCTCAGAGGAAGGAACTAGAGTCAGCTGAGGCAGCAACAGGTTTAGCTCCAACCCCTGTGTGCGGCCTGGCAGCGTCATTCACCCGCAAGCCCTTGAGCCTGGTGTCACCAAACCCCAGACTGACATGAACAACTGCCCCAAGCTGCCATCTGTCATTCCAGGTGTCAAGGGATTCTTCGGAGAGAAAGGAACAGAGGGCGATGTGGGCTTTCCTGGGATAACAGGCCTGACCGGAGCCCAAGGCCCCCCCGGACCTAAAGGACAGTCAGGTGAGTCTGCGGTCACAGTGTTCTACGCAGGAGGCCTCCTGGGACCCAGGACAAAACGGCCACCCTTGCTCCTTCCCTGCCGTACTCATAGCGTCTGGACCGAAGAGCACCCAGGGGTGAATGGGAAGTGTCTCTCGAGCCTAGCTCGGCTTTGTGTGGCATGTGAGCCATCCGAATCCTCACACAGTGAGCCAGGCATCGGGGGGCTGCCCACTCCTTGCCCCGGCCCTGCTCTGTGCCCAGGCCAGCCCAGGCACTCTGCACACTCCTGTCCATATGATGGGACGGGAAGAGAACGCGTGCTCTTCTCCCTGTGGCAAGGTTGAGTGTCCCATCACTGACGCCGCCTGCACCCCAGGTGGCCTCCTGGGATGCCACACACCTCGGCGCCGCTGCCCCCAGGTCCACAGCCCCCTCCAAGTTAGAAGCTGGCTGGGGTCTCTTCCTGGGTCTCCAGGATCTCTGGTGTGCTCAGGCTTCGCTGTGTGTCTTCTCTAGGCTTCCCGGGGCTTGCTGGGCTGCAGGGTCCGCAGGGCGACCCGGGGCGGATCGGAGTGCCCGGTGAGAAAGGAGACTATGGCTGGCCAGGCAGTCCAGGCTTGCCAGGTAAGACACCCACCTCCATACCTCCATAGAGAGGCAGAGAGCCACAGCAACCCCAGACTGAGCCGCTAGGCTGCAGAAGGAGCTGTCTGTCAGCCCACGGGCCTCTGTAGGCCACTGACTGTAATGGTGTGAGCACAGGCCAGGTGTGACACAGGCTGACTGTAATGGTGTGAGCACAGGCTGGGTGTGACACAGACTGACAGTAATGGTGTGAGCACAGGCTGAGTGTGACACAGGCTGACTGCCATTTGCACAGGACACTGGAGTGCAGGTTTACAGCTGTTGAGATCATAAGGCATATCTGATAGAGGGGTGAAAGGGATGGGAACACAGTGAAACCTGTGTGGATGGTAACTGAGATCTCACACACCACACGAGCACACGCACACGCGCACACGCACACACACACATACTGTGAAGCCGATAGAAGCCAATAGAAAAAGAAAAAATGTTGACACCGTCATCTGCAAAGAGGGGCAGAAGGCCAGACACTGGTGTCTGCCCTTGTTCAAACCCTGGTGGTTACCAGCCCCGGCCTAGCATCGGGGCACCATGCTGGCTGAGAAGTAAGGATGACCATTCCCGACCCCAAGTCCAGCCACAGCCACACACGCTCCATGCACAGGGGATGGACACCAGGTGCTGGGAGCAGAGCTCCAGGGGAACAGGACTGACACGGCTCTTACAAACCAAACAGCCTCCCCCTGTGGCTGGAAGGCCGAGAGCTGTCTGTGGAGACGGGTTTAAAGTGTGGGCCTCCTGCTCACAGGAAAGGTGCTCTGCATGCAGGGTAAAGGGGGCCAAGGCTACCTCTGTCCTGCTGTCCAGTGCCTAGTTCCCCCTCTCCCCCACCCCCGGCTCCAGAGCACGCTGGTGGCCTCCCCTATGCAGCTGACCACGAAGCGACTCTTTGCAGGTTTTCCCGGATTCCGCGGCATCGGTGGCTTACACGGCCTGCCAGGCACCAAAGGCTTCCCTGGAGCGCCAGGTATGTACCAACCTGTCACCCTGTGGTTTGGAGGGAGGGGACCTCGCCCAAGGCTGCCACTTTCCCACTGTCCTTTCAGAGTAGGGAACTTCTCCATATTCACAGGGAAGATGTTCGTAAGATTCACGTAGGAAGAGACAAACATTACCCATCTTTGATTGAGATTTATGGAAGCAGAGGCAACACACTGCAGGTGAACCAACACACATGCTCTGGGTGACACTGCTCACACACTCACACGCCAGGTGACATTGCAGCTCACACACACTCCAGGTGACAAGGTAGCTCACACACTCACATGCCAGGTGACAGTGCAGCTCACACACGCCCTGGGTGACAATGTAGCTAAGATCACCTCACTGGCACCTGGCACCTGTGGCATTGAGAGCCTGGCTGTGAATAGGTTTTCAAACCCTGATGATGGCAAAGACAGCATCACGAACAGCCTCAGGGGACCAGTCCCGCTCGCCACCAGCTGCTGCCATGAACCTGAAGCCTTCAAAAGGCCTTGGTTTTCCTGTCAGTGCAGTGAGGCCCTCTGTGCTCTCCAAGAGCTCTTTAGAGTGAGCAAGGGGAGCTCACTGTGGCTGCCCTGTTCCCCCTCTTCCAAGTCCACTGACTGCCCTTCCACTCAGGAAACCCCTCTGTGTGCTCAGAGCTGCCAATGCTATCTCAATTCTCCCCCAGGTGCCGACATCCACGGAGACCCGGGGTTGCCAGGCCCCATCGGGGAGAGGGGTGAACCCGGAGAGGCCAATACCCTTCCAGGCCCAGTGGGGGCCCCAGGCCAGAAAGGACAGCAGGGAGTGCCAGGTGAGATCATGCCTGCTGTCCTAGGGCATAGTCCACGGACCAGCCACGTGGGGTGGCCCCAAGGCTGTGAATCGGGCAGACCCTCTGTGGGCCCTCTGGTCTCCAGCGCTTTCACTCCCCACCAGTTTATTTTCTGTCTCAGTGCTCCTTCCTGGCTGAGCAATCCATCCATCTTCTGTGTGTCCCTGGCGTCCAGGACACTAGAGGGCAGCACAGAGAGCACTAGCACTGTCCCTGTGCCCCGCAGGCCCCTTCTGCCCACACTCAGGCTCATGGCCCTCATAGGACTCCATGGCAGAGGCCCAGTCAGTCTGCTACCCGTGCAGCCAGGAGCACACTCAGACAGGGCCTGGGTGGGACTCCTCAGGACTGGCCCAGGCTACTGGCAGGTGGCAGGAGCTGGAGCTGGCGGGCCAGCTCGGCCTCTGAGCACTCATCTTCCCCAAGGCCTCCGGGGACACGGGTCCATCTGGCCCCCAGAGGGGACAGCATTGGAGGAAAGCCAGAGCTAAAAATAACTTGGTCGTTTTCCTCCTGAGGTGAGCGAGGCCCAGCTGGGAGCCCAGGCCTGCAGGGCTTCCCCGGCATCAGCCCCCCTTCCAACATCTCTGGACTGCCGGGTGACGTAGGAGCCCCAGGGATCTTCGGCCTAGAAGGTGAGTGGCCCTGGTTCCTCCACGGTGACACCTCCAGGTGGGCGGCACCGGCAGACCCGTGGATGGAACGGATGCAGAGCAGAGCAGGTGCCTCCCACCCGGCTCCATCCTCCATCTCCATCACTACCTGCACCACCCGGCCCCCAACACCTCAGCGCGGGACACACCTGCTGCTTGCACGTCATTCCCAGTAACCAAGAGGCAGAGGCAGCCCAGTGCCACTGACAGATAGATGATAAAAGGATAGGAAGTTCTCTTGTTCCTTTTTTTAGTGATATCAGGAATTGAACTCAGAGCCTGACAAACACTAGGCAAGCTTTCTACCACCTGAGCCACACCCTGAGCCCTTTGCTCCCATTTTGTTTTTGAAGTAGGATCTCTAACCTCAGGGTCTCCCTCGGATTCATGATTCTTCTGCCTCTATGTCCCAACTAGCTGGGATTACAAGGGTAGACCACCACACCCAGCTAAGGAAGAGAATTCTGATGCACGCTAAAACGGGGATGACTGTAAGGACGTTAGCCTACGCAAAATAAGGCAGTCACAAAAGGACAAGTAATGGAAGATTCCACTTGGGGGGTCCCCTGGAGTGTTCCCATTGGAGGAAGCAGGCAGTAAGTGGTGGACACCAGTGCTGGAGGGCAGGGGGTGGGAGTGGCATTCAGTGGATGAGAGGCTCTGGAGACAGATGGTGTAATGTTGCACAACATGGAATGTGCTTAAAAATGGTTGGGATGAAGCAGGTGTGGTAATTGTGTCTGTAAGCTTAGCTGTTCAGGAGACTGAGAAGAGGAAGATAGAGGTTCCAGGCCAGCCCGGGGAACACTGTTTGTGAGACTCTGTGTGAGCACTAAGTTGGGCCTGATGGTGTATACCCATCCCCTAGCTACAGCACAAAGCATAGATTGGAGGATCAAAGGCCAAGCCAGTCCATGCAAAAAATCAAAACCCGATCTCAAAAATAACCAGCAAAAAGGGCTGGAAGCATGCCTCAAGTGGTAAAGAACCTGTTGAGCCACATGACACCCTGAACTCAGACGATGCTCTGTATTCATGTGTTCCCTCAATATAAAGCGACGAGCAGAGCAGAGATCGTGCGTCACCACTGCTTCACCCGTGCCTGGACCAGCTGCTGTGGGCCACGAGCCAGGCAATGAGTCCTGTGCACCAGGGTGAACCCCTGGGGTCCCTGCTTAATCCCGCCCCTCCTGTGACTGCCCACAGGATACCGAGGCCCGCCAGGACCCCCTGGGCCTGCCGCTCTTCCTGGGAGCAAAGGAGAGGAGGGAAGGCCCGGAGCCTCGGGAATCACCGGGTCCAAAGGATGGGTTGGGGACCCAGGGCCCCAGGGCCGGCCTGGCGTGTTTGGTCTACCAGGAGAAAAAGGTAAGGCAGCCCCACAAAGAGGCGGGGGGGGGGGGCTGGAGGCTGGCCAGGCTCGTGTAACCTCACTACCCCGTCTGTCGCAGGGCCAAAGGGCGAGCCAGGGCTTATGGGCAACACTGGACCTTCCGGGCCTGTGGGTGACAGAGGCCCCAAGGGGCCCAAAGGAGACCAAGGATTCCCCGGTAAGTAGAGGCCCCGGCACATGGCAGCTGGGGCTGAGGTATGCCCGAGCCTGGCCCTCCCCTTGGTGCAGAGAGAGCATTCCAAGGCCGAGGCCACAACCTATGGGCACAGGGCCTGCTCCCCAAAGAGCAGTCCCAGCCAGGTGCTCAGCGTGGGGTGTGGGCGTGGGGTGACCTCTCACGGGAGTCTGGAGCCCAGCTGTTCTCTGGATGAGATCCGGGCAAGAAGGGGAAGTGGTTGCGTGTGCTCACTGGGCCTTTCCCTCCCTCCAGGCGCTCCTGGCTCTGTGGGGTCCCCTGGCATCGCGGGACAGCCCCCGAAGTTTGCTGTGCAGCCCGGAGCACTGGGTCCCCAGGGGCGGAGAGGCCCGCCTGGGGCTCAGGGGGAGATGGGGCCCCAGGGGCCTCCTGGAGAGCCAGGTAGGACTCTAGGCTGCAGGCCACTGACAAAACACTCGACCCATTTGCACTGTCAGCCTTTGTCCTCTGGCTGAACCATCATGGATCCCAGTCGCGCTCATTTCCTCCTCTCTTCCAGGTTTTCGAGGGACCCCAGGGAAGGCTGGACCTCAGGGAAGAGGTGGCGTGTCTGCTGTTCCAGGGTTCCGGGGAGACCAAGGCCCCATGGGGCACCAGGGCCCAATTGGACAAGAGGGTACGTGATTAGGACTGAAAGAGCCCAGCCCTGTGGCTCCCGCCTATAATCCTAGCTACTAGGAGGCTGAGATCTGGAGATTGAGGTTAAAAGCCAGTCCAGGCAAGAAAATCCATGAGACTTTTATGTCCAATTAACCACCAGGAAAGCCAGACATAGAGCTGTGGCTCAAGTAGTAGAGCACCAGCCTTGAGTAGAAAAAGTTACAGGGCCGCACCCAGGTCCTGAGTTCCCCCCCATTACTGGCACAAAAACAAAATTGTGGACATGCGCAGGATGTAGAAATACAGCAGTCAGCACAAGACAAATTCTTAAGATTTGTTTTTATCAATCTAAGCTCAGTCTGAACCAAGGGCATGACACACACCACCCACCTTGCTCTGCCCCCATCAACGGTACATATCCAGAAACAGGGACAAGTTGGAGTCTTTCCAGGGCCAAGATGAGGGATGGAGGGATTATCCTGGAAGAAAATAGAAGATGGGGGCAGGGGAGCACTGGGAGACAGGACCAGCTGGAACAGCTGACTCGAAGCATCTCTAAGGCCACCATGCTGGAGACAGGCATCAGGCATCACGCTGTATTGTGTTCTGGGCTAGGACCTGGTCCTGAGTGGCAGGTACAGAGTCAGGTTTCAGCTGCACACAGGAAGGAGAGGCCAGCCTGGGAACGGCCCAGAGTGCCATGAGCCCGGCCCGCAGCCAGTGCCCGGCCTGGGAGGCAGCTGCTAGGCTAGAACTCAGCAGAGGTGTCTCCAGACCCCACGGCTCCCCGGGTCTCACCCTTCCTGCTGCACCTCCCCCACACCCTATGTGTACATGGCCAGGCCCCCTGGGTTTGAGTTTGTATAATTATCATCATTCTGTGCTCATGCAACACACAGTTTAGTTCAACTGAGGCCCAAGCTTCGGGAAGTCAGAGGAGTGGCTGTTCTAGGGGACTGGGACCTCCCTCTACCTGAGGGGCGGTAGTCAGCGGATGAGAGCTACTCTCCCTTGGGTTCTAGGGGAACCAGGCCGTCCGGGGAGCCCTGGCCTGCCTGGCATGCCTGGGCGCAGCACCAGCATCGGCTACCTCTTGGTGAAGCACAGCCAGACGGACCAGGAGCCCATGTGCCCAGTAGGCATGAATAAGCTGTGGAGCGGCTACAGTCTGCTGTACTTTGAAGGCCAGGAGAAGGCTCACAACCAGGACCTGGGTAGGTGCTGCCACCCAGCCCCACTGGGGGCTCCCTTCCTGCCCTGGTGTGGCCAAGGTCACATGCCCTGGGCCTCTCCCAGCGGGAGCCCATGGTCCCTCGCTGTGGGGAACAGACAGGATGGAGATGGCCGCTGGACCACCAGCCATCGTACCCTGTAAACCCCAACACAGGCACGTGGCTCCAGAGGGGCTCCAGCCACCAGAGCTGGGCTGGCAGGAGCGAGCTCCACCCCCTTACTCTGTGAGCAGGCGCCTGCCCATAGGCCTGGCTCCAGAGTAAAGAACCAAAGAGCAAACACAGACAGGGCCAAGGTGGAAGCCCGAGCTGGACACAGGGTGTGAGGGTGGAACCCCACGGTGGCCCACAGGTCCACTCCTGCTATGAGCAACACAGCCAGGGCGAGAAAGGAAATGCACTCAGCTGCAGGTCCCTCCGGCCGGGGGTGGAGCATCACTGTGCCACGGCAACAGAGCCAACAGAGCTCCTTCCAGGGGTCCACCGGGAGCATCAGTGAGGCATTGTTAGCCCCTAGCCTAGCGCCCCCCTCCCCATGTGCCATCCACGAAGACACAGCCCCCTAGTGACCTGGCTCGACCCAGTGGCATACATGAGCAAGAAGAGCTGGAAGAGCTGGAAGAGCCGGCCTCCTCCCAAATGCCCAACCAGCACTAGCGACACCTAGTTGTAAGCCTGGCATTTGGATTGTGAGTTCAAGGCCAGCCTCCTCTCCATTGCTGGACCTAGTCTCAAAAAAAAAAAAAAAAACCCCTACGAAGTAAAATAGCAATAATGATGAAATCACTTAGTGACTGATGGAACAGAAGGAATCGGAGAGTCTTTGCTTAGTCCCTGCTAGGAGGCCCTGGGGGGGAGTGCAGGGGAGGGAGGCAGAGAGGAGGGAGGGAAGGGCATCGAGGTGGCAGCACCTGCCAGGGTGGGAAGGGCGGGAGCTGGGGCCCCACCTCACACACACACCCTGCCCCCCCAGGGCTGGCTGGCTCCTGCCTGGCACGCTTCAGCACCATGCCCTTCCTGTACTGCAACCCGGGCGACGTGTGCTACTATGCCAGCCGCAACGACAAGTCCTACTGGCTGTCCACCACCGCCCCACTGCCCATGATGCCCGTGGCCGAGGACGAGATCCAGCCCTACATCAGCCGCTGCTCCGTGTGCGAGGCACCGGCAGTGGCCATTGCTGTCCACAGCCAAGACGTCTCCATACCCCACTGCCCCGCCGGCTGGCGCAGCCTGTGGATCGGCTACTCCTTCCTCATGGTATGTGGTGCTCTCCCCTGTCCCCTTTCTAGAAGAGCCTGGGACCCGCTGGAAGTCTAGTTCCTCCCTCCAGCTGTACCCAAGATGGGCACAGCGAGAACAGAACCCGGGTCAGAACAATCAGACAGGCAGACTGCTGATGTGCACCAGGCACAGGTCATAGTGCAGGGTGAGGACTGGAACGCAGCTTGGATGTTGTGAGTTGTGTGCAAAGAATGGAGCTTCCCTCACCTGGAAAGGAGCGTTCATTCATTGCCACCACACCTGTGCTGGAGTGTAACGCAGGTCACAGGGCCTCCTTGTTTTCACACAGCAGTGAAGCTCTCTGTGGTTTAGCAGAAGGCTGATAGAGAGTTTGGTCTAAAGTCCTAAGAATCTTACAGTCTAGAGTACACTGAGTGGCTAGGTGGTCTCAAATGGCTACTCAGGAGGCTGAGATCTGAGAGCTGTGGTTCTAAGCATCTTGGGCAGGAAAGTCCATGACTCTCATCTCCAGTTAGCCACCAAAAAGCCAGAAGTGGAACTGTGGCTCAAGTGGTAGAGAGCTACTACCCTTGAATGAAAAGTCAAGCTCGAGTGTGAGGCCCTGAGTTCAAGCCCCAGTACCAACACACACACACACACACACACACACACACACACAGCGCACTTGGTATTGGCAAGGCATGTAACACGGCTCAGATCACTCCCAGGGTGGCTGTGTGTGCACCTGAGGGGGAGGGCCTGCATTGGACCACACTAGACCGTCCTCACCTCGGGTTCCACCCTGGCCCTATCCCAGGAGCCTGACAGCTCCTTGGCAGTGACCCTGGCCACAGGTAGCTTCGTTTATCCCAGAAGCCAGTGACAGCAGGTCAGCGGCTCACTGGGCATTTCCGCCCAGGCCCCTGACCAGCTCTGTCTTCCGCCCTGTACAGCACACAGCCGCTGGGGATGAGGGCGGCGGCCAATCGCTGGTGTCGCCGGGCAGCTGTCTGGAGGACTTCCGCGCCACGCCCTTCATCGAGTGTAACGGGGCCCGAGGGACCTGCCACTACTTCGCCAACAAGTACAGCTTCTGGCTGACCACCATCCCCGAGCAGAGCTTCCAGAGCTCACCCTCGGCCGACACGCTGAAGGCCGGCCTCATCCGCACGCACATCAGCCGCTGCCAGGTGTGCATGAAGAACCTGTGAGGCCCCGGGCAGCAGCGGCCACGCCGGAGGCTACTTGGTGCTTATTCTTAACTTATTACCTCAGATGCTTTCCCCACACTATCTCAGTATTGCCTTCAAAAACCAAAGGACCACAGCACTGCCCTGACCCCCGTCGGCTCCTTGGTCAGCAAGTGGGCCCTGGTCAGTCAGGACCTGCCCCTGACACTGCAGATACCCGGCACAGCCCATGCATTTCCCCCACTCCTCATACTAAACCACAGAGCTAGCACTGTAGCCGCCAGTAACAGTCCCTGCCTATCAGTGCCTTCCGGGACGAGGCACTCTCCGTGACAGCAGAAGAGAGCGTGTGGCCAAGGAGGGCCGAGGCCAGGCCGCCCGCTCCCCGCCACCTGTCCCCCACCATAAGCATGGTGCTATTTTTCAGGCCACGTGGAAGGCCTTGGTGTTTTACATGCGGGAGTGAGCTCTCAGGCCCCCGCACCAGAACTGTCAGGCTTGTCATGTTGAGACACTGACAGCCATCTACATCCTCCATATGCCCTTGGGGACCGTGGGGCTGGCCTTTCTGGCCACTGCCGGCTTGATGTCCCCAGCCTGCATCCTCCTGGATGAACACGGGCCCCAGCCCTCCCCCTCTGCCCTGCCCAAGCTGTCTGTCCTCGCCCAACTGTCCCGTGTAACAACATAAATAAAAGTGATGCTGAGCGTTTCTAACCTGGGTGCTGCTGCTCTGGTTTCCTCACATTCCCGTGAGGACTCCGCCCACTCGGCCGGGAAGCAGGCCCCGGGCTCTCCCAAATCCCCAGCTCCCCCGTGCGTGCACGGCCAGATCTGCGTGCTGTCTCTCAGGGCCTGTGGCTGTGTACCAGTCAGAGCGTGGGGAACGGTGGGGCCCTTCCAAGGTCGTCTTCCAAACCAGTGCCAGGTGCAGCCCTAGCGCGACTTCGCTGCACTGGAGCCAACCCAACCCTGTGCAGTGCAATAGTGCTCCGCCTGAAGCCTCGAGACCATGGAGAATGGGAGGTGGGGAAGGGGTGTGTCCACTGGACAGGGCAGCCCTGGACAGAGGGAAGGCAAGAAGGAGGAAAAGCCAGCTCTAAGGCTGCTCAAAAGGTGGCTGTACCTGCAGGCCATTTACACATGAGTCCCACAGGAGGGACCATGACAGAGCCTCAGGCTGCCCAAAAATCACAGAAATGTTTGGGTTTGAGGGAGGAGGGGGTTGCCAGTATTTGGTCTAGAACTCAGGGCCTGGGCACTATCCTTAGTTTCTTTGCTCAAGGCTGGTGCTCTACCACTTGAGCCACAACTCCACTTCTGGCTTTTTGGTGGTTAATTGGAATAAGAGTCTCTCAGATGCTTCTGTCTGGGCTGGCTTTGACCCATGATCCTCAGATCTTAGCCTCCTGAGGAACTAGGATTACACCGGCACCTGGAGAGGGAGGGAGTTTGGTTGGTTCCGGGAGCTGGTAGGAGCTGATTCTCAGCCAGCTAAGCACACGTGCCCGGTTAAGCATTGGCAAGCACCTTGGGGGTGTGTCTCATCATCAGGACATTCACACAAAAGGGGGCAGGCAGCCTCCTCCCACTGTCACCCCAAAGCTGGGCTCAGCTCCCTCCTGCCTCACTGCCCTGGAAGGGCTGTGACACCCCCAGTACCTTCGGGGAGGCACACCACACTAGGCCCCTCCACCCTGTACACACACGCCTTGCTGCGGCTTTCCTGGATGGGAGCTGCTTTAGAATGGGGGAGGGTACCACCCCTGTGCCCAGCACAGGCATCAGAGCCTCCATGCCCAGGGGAAGTGGGTCCTGGAAGTAGAGGCTGTGCCCACTGGGGGGAGGGGGTCACTGCAGCTCAATGTACTGAAGGTGTGTGTGACCATGCACATGCCATCCCCAGCCCCCAGCTACACAAAGGCTGGACCTCCCAGGCACCTCCCACTGTTCCTCAAGAGAGGAAGGGAAATTAAAAGCCAAAGCTTCGGCAGGGAAACCTGCTTTAAAGTGAATGGGGTGGGGGACCGTGCTTGCTGGTGGGACCACTTCAGAGCAGCACCACCCGGCGGGCGTAGACCCTGTCCTCAGCCTCAGCTGCAGGTCTCTCTCTTCACCTGCCATCCACCACTGTGTCCTCTTTGTTAAATAAGATTTCCCCAAAGATGGTAAGTCTGCCTGTTCAAAATGAGGCGGCTAGTCCCCTCAACCTAGCCCCAAGCCCCAACCCCTCCACCCTCCAAAGCCCCAGCCTCCCGGAGTGCCTGAGGACCAACCCCATACTTGGCACCAACAAGGATTGGGGTTCGAAGCCAGCCTGACCAGAAAAGACCATGAATGGCAGAGCATGAGAGCTGAGTATGCTAGCTGAGCATGCGTAGGGCCGAATTTGAAGCCCAGTATATATTAAAAAAAAAAAAAAAAACAGGCTCACAGCCAGCATCCTGGTGACCCCGCTCTTCTCCAGCAAGGAGTCCCTGGAGTTCAAATAAAACCTTCACACCAAAGCTCTTCTCAAAACCCATTTTTATAACATGGAGCCCACCCTATCCAGCCAATATAAAAAAGAGCCATTCTTGATTTTTTTAATAAATTAAATGTGAGGAATCATTATTAAAATGCATCAAAATACAAATCCCAAATGGGAGGAGCTCTGTGACTCACAGTGTAGAGAAACATCTGAGGAGAGCAGCAGGCACTTGTGCTATACAACGTGGCAGCCGCTGAGGGCAGACCCCCGCCTCACCCGGGCCCGGCGCGGCCCGGCGCGGCCCGCCTGCCTCAGGCGCAGCACCCCGACCTGGGCAGCGCGTCGGGCTTGCTGCTGGTCAGGTCCACAGTCTGTGGCGGCCCTGCGGCCCGCTGCTGGAGGATCCGGGGCACCACCATGTCGAACACACTCTCAAACAGGAAGTCCACGTTGTAGCCGGTTTTGGCACTGGTCTCGAAGCACATCTGCTCGGCTGCTGGCGCGTCCTTCTCGTCCAGCATCTTGTACTTCAGGATCTTCTTATAAAGGGCCACGGCATCCTCCAGCCGTGCCTGCTTCGGCTGCCTGGGGGATGCACCAGGCCTGGTGCTGGCCGCCCTGGGCAGTGGCTGGTCCTTCTCCCTGCTGGCCACCACCCTCTCCTCCACCAGGTCCACCTTGTTCCCCACGATGGCAAACAGGCAGTCTTTGCTGGCCGTGTCGGTCAGGCCCAGGAACCGGTCCTCCAGCTCCACCAGGCTCTGGCGATGGTTCACGTCGTAGGTGAGGATGACGGCGGCCGCACCCCGGCAGTACATGGAGCCCAGGCCGTGGAACTGCTCCCGCCCTGCAAGGAGAGGAGGAGACGTCTCAGTGGCCATTTACCTCAGCACACACCCCCCCCACACACAAGCCCAGCCGCCCGCACGGATAGACTCCAACCCCTCTGTGGTAGGGAGGACAGCGACACCCTTGCTGTCTCAATCAGAAAAGGGGGCAACTCGCTGGGCCCCACATCCGTAGCCTCTGTGCAGACTGGCCAGGGAGCCCACTCCACCAGAGACTGTGTGTGTGTGTGTGTGTGTGTGTGAGAGAGAGAGAGAGAGAGAGAGAGAGAGAACCTCTGTTCAGAGTGACCCAGATGGGAAGGAGTCTCTCCAATCAAACCCCTCAGTGTAGGGCGACAGGGCAGATGAACACCCGCTGCCTGGGTTCACTTGGGCTGCCCTCAGGCTGGCTCACTGTCTGATGAGGGAGGTGTGTGGAAAGCCGGAACCCCGGGGCCGTGCACAGGCAGCGTCTCCTCTCATGGAGCCATCCACACCATCACCCGAGTGAGAGTGCTCACCCGCCTGCTCGCCAGTCCAGCGACCCTGCAGTGGACACCACCACAGCGCCACAGCTGCTGCCACAGGACTGGATCTCAGTGTCATAGTGACCGTGCAACACGCATCAATGAGCCTTGACACCGGTCCTCAGTGCCCCCGGCTGCCTGAGCCTGTGCCTGCATGCATTTAGACCCAGTGACTGAGCAAGGGCCACCAGCCACACTGTGCTGAGGGACACCGTGAGCCTCTGCAGCACAGACTGCCACCAGCACGTGTCATCCACGCAGAACGCTGTGTCCCTCATCCATCTCTCACTGCCACGGTTCTGAGGCAGACACCAAGCCTGGGCCCAGTGCTACCTCATCCGCAGTCCTGAAAGGGCCACGTCCTGACAAAGGGCACCAACCCCTAGCCGGGTGGCCCTGCATGGTCCTAAGTAGGCTGGTGGTCTCTGGCAGAGGGGTGTGCGGGGATGCAGGCACGTCTGGGAAAGCTCTCACAGTTAGCAGCCCCGGGCCCACTTTTCCAACCAAGCCCAGGAAACTCCCTCAGCAACGTGAGGCAGGATGCAGCCGAGCCAGGCCAGAGAACAGCAGGTCTAAAGGCTGACATGGGTCCTGCCTGGGTCCAGGGGCTGCCCCCCCTGCTCAGGAAGGCAAGCCACGTGGATCTGGAGCCCTGGGACCAGTTCTTGGCCAGGTAAGCAAGCATCCGCTGCCTGTTAAGTGACACAGGACTCAGGAGCGTCATTCCCTGGCGGGTGGCCACCCTCCCAGAGCGCAAGATAATGAATGGCCAAGAACCTCTAAATCACAGGACCACACAGAGCCAGATAAGCCACGTTCAGAGAAACAAAGGTCACATGCTTTCTGTCACATGCAAAATCTAGACCTTAATGATAATAAAAATGTCATGAGTCTGAGAGGGAGACAGTTGGGGAACTTGCAGAAAGGGGGGGGAAGGGAAGGGGGACCTAGGCGACTTGTGGGCAGGGACGGGAGGGGGAGCCAGGGCGAGGGAAGGAAGGGGATGCTGTCCAGAAAGAACTGTGCTCATCACCTGACCTGGGAAATGGCAGCCCCTCTCTACAGCACCTTGATAATGACAATAAAATTCTATTTTTAAAGCTCAAGTGGTAGAACACCAGCCTTGAGTGAAAAGGCCCTGCGTTCAAGCCTCAATACTTGTACCACAAAAAAAAAAGTAAATACCAAACTAAATGGACACAAAAATATGAAACCACAAGCAGTAGTTTGCAAAAGAAAAGAAATGGTTCTCCACACCCTAGGACTTGCACAGGCACACGAATAACCACCCAGAGCTAGAGCTGCAGCAGCACAAAATGTGATCAGCTCCAGCAGGAATTTCACGGGAAAGTACCGTCAGGGACCAGGGCGGGGCTTCCCCTGACCCTGAAGGAATGTTCTTTCCCCTCTCTGTTACGTAGTTCACTGGGACAAAGGGAGAAGTGTGCTAATGCCTACGCCTAGAATAGCTTTCTGTTCCAGATAAAAATGTCTGACTGATGCGCTGGGCGTGGTAGTACCAGCCTGTAATCTCAGCACTCCGGAAGGTGTGCTGAGAGTTCCGACTAGCCTGAGCCACACAGTGGGACCCTATGATAAAAAAAAAAAATTCTTAAGTCAGATTTTTTTTTTAAAAAAAAGACTAAAACAAACCAAAAATAATACATTAACAGCAACTCAAAGAAGCAGGAAATGGAGACCCCAAATACCAGCCAGAGCAGCTGGCACAGCTGTTAGCTTCCATGCAAACAAGTCAACCAGCTAGCCCAGAAAAGAACTGACAGGGACTGGGAGAGTAGCTCAGTGGTAGAGTGCTTGCCTAGCATGCGTGAAGCCCTGGGTTCAATTCCTCAGCGCCATATATACGGAAAAAGCCAGAAGTGGCACTGTGACTCAAGTGGTAGAGCACTAGCCTTGAGCAAAAGAAGCTCTGGGACAGTGCTCAGGCCCTGAGTTCAAGCCCCAGGACTGGCAAAAAAAAAATTGACAAGTCTGTACTCTTTGTGCTTGGAACTCTCCAATCCTGACATTGAGGTCATCTGCAATTTTAGGGTGCTCATGGGCAGTCCAGGCTGCTACAATGTGGGCGGTGCCCAGAGCAAGACAGATGGCCACGGAACGCCGGCGTGGGGCTAGTGGAACAGCGTGACGGACAGCGAAAATGCTGCAGAGCCACAGACCTGCCATCCAATCCACAGCATTTGCATCAGACCTCCCATGTTCCACACTCCTCAAAGGTTCCCGGGCAGGTGTGCCGTGCGCCACCCTCCATCCCTCAGCTGGCCGCCGGCTCCTGGACGGCTGGACCTGACTGCTCATGAGTCCAATGTGGCAGCGTGCCAGCCATCGCTGCCTTCTGGCTGTTCACCTGACACCCGTGCCACAGCCCAGCTTCTGGACTCTGTGCTCCCCATGCTCCCCGTGCTCCCCTCCCTGAGCTACCCAGGATCCAACTCACCATGCCAAGCTCCAGGCTGGCCCAGAACCCGGGCAAAAGAAAAAAGCCCCAAGCTGGCCTCAGCCCAGCGGAGTGGCCGCCCTCATGAGCTGCTGTGTGCCACTTGGGAGGGCTGAGTATGGGGACTTCAGAAGCACATGGGGATGGGATCTGTGCCGGTGCTGCCCTCAACGGAGGTGTGGGTGATTATCCCCGGTGGGGAGGGAACCAGAACCCAGACCACCATCGGGACCCAGCAAAAGTACCACACAAAGCCCACCGTGAGGTGCATGGGGGACAGAAGGGGAGCAGGGCGGTCCACGGGGCAGGTGCACCTGGCCTACCAAGGCCTGGCTTCAGATCCCGGAGCCCCAAACACCATCACCCCCCCGCCACTGTGCTGGGTGAAGTTCAGCCTGGGAACCAGATGTTCACCACAGATGGGGGCGCGACAGAAACACAGCAGATCTGCAGCCTCCCCAAAGCTTAGCACAAGGGCCTTCCTCTCCCCCAGAGCCCCAGAGGGAGCGGCAGGGGTGGGCTGCCGGCACGCAGGAGGAGTGGAGCCCAGACAGAGGGACTCAGGCTGGGCCTCCTCATTCACGCTCCGCCCCATGGGAGAGAGGCCATATGGCAGGCGCCCCGGAGACCAGGAGTGCGCAGAGCACCTGCTTCCAAAGTCCGCACTGAGCTCCATCCTGGGGAGTGACCGCTGCCCCAGGCAGGGACAACTGGGTGCTCCCCTTAAGAGCCTCTCTGGGGATGGGGCAAAAGTCACTGGCTGTCAGCATCACGGATGGCCCTGGGGTTCAGGTGTGGCTCACCTGTGGACCTGTGCCTTGGGTGGAGTGCCTAGAAGTGTGCTCTAACCATGGCGGCGAGAGGCATTTTCTAAGGCACGGATGCCCGGTCTGGACCCCAGGGAGGGGAAGCTGAGCCAAGGCGCCAATGAAGGGGTGGTGTGCCAGGCTGTTGCAGGGCTGGAGTGCAGCTGACGGCAAAGCGCCGCCTGGTGCCCTGCAGGCTCCAGCTCCTTTCCAGCATCACAGAAAAAGAATGCAATTTTAAACACAAGCAGGCAGTTCCAGGAGCGCCAGAGCCGATGCATGCTGTTTCCGTTCTGCAGAAAGCAAGACTTCTGAGGAAAGCCGGACGCAGAGCCCAGGAGCACAAAGCCAAGCAGGAGCCACACGCCAGCGTGAAGGGTTGGAAATGCGGCTGCGAGCCCCTGGACTGCGGGGAAGGCGGGCATCTGCAGGGAATGGGAGGTAGGAGGGCGGCTTGTTCCCCAGGGCTAGGGAGGGCGGACCTGTGGGCCTTGGCTTCAGCCTGTTCCCTGCTAGCAGATGAGAGAACAAATGCCTACCGTGCATAGCTGGCGAGGCTGTGGGACTTGGTGACGGGAGCCTGGCGAGCATAGCGGAAGCCATGCTCTGAGGCCTCCAGCCCCAGCGGGCCAGACGCAAATCAAGGCTTTCTTCCCCTGGTGACCGCAGGTTGTGTAGGATCAGACAGACCATGAGTTCTTCCCAGCCACCCCTCACCCCTCCCTCCCACCCTCCCTCCGCAGACAGGCAAGGAAGCCAGCGGTGTGCCCCTCCCTGCGCCGCACAAAGCAGAAGGAAGCTGGGACGCCCCTTTGCTTGGATGACCAAACCCACACACCACCATCCCCCCCCCCATGCCCAAGACAGAAACTGTGTACTTCCTGAGCACAAGCCACAGACCACAACGCACCCCGTGACCCGGAACCTGACAGCTCCCAGCCTCCAACCTGACCCGAGGCTGCTCGTGAACCCATGACCCTCTCATCTGACTCAGCCAGCGAAAAACCATCCCCAAAGAGGCTCTGCATCTCCGAAACACAAGGCGTCTGAAGAGCCTTCCGGGGAACGCCAGCGAGTTATCTGGAGACAGACACCCCTGGCTGCACCCGGGGAGGCCACTGCCCGGCTGGCAGCAGGGTGGGCAGAGGATGACACCCCACAGGGGACAGCCAGCCACAACGCAGTGCAGGGGACAGAGCCAGGGGTTTGTTTTAGTTATTTCTTTTCTT